GTGTCTCACCAAACTCACAGGAAAAATTTGCTTTTTAATATCTAGCCTAAATTTCCCCTCTTTTATTTTAATCCTATTACTCCTTGTTCTATCACTGCAGTTCCTAACACAGAGTCCCTCTCCAGCTTCCCTGGAGCCCCTTCAGATCCTAGAAGGTTGCTATGAGGTCTCCACGCAACCTTCTCTTCTCCAGGCTGAACAGTCCCAACTCTCTCAGACTGTCTTCATAGGGGAGATGCTCCAGTCCTCTAATCAGCTTTGTGGCCTCCTCTGGACTTGCTCCAAGAGTTCCATGCCCTTCTTATGTTGAGGGCACCAGAACTGTGTGCAGTGTTCCAGGTGGAGTCTCTAGGGGGCAAATCACCTCCTTTGATCTGCTGCCCACACTCCTTGTGATGCAGTCCAGGATTCCATTGGCTTTCTGGGCTGAGCTCACACTGCAGTCCATGGTGACTTTCAGATCTACCAACACATCCAAGTCTTTCTCCTCACTGCTGGTCTCAATTACTCCCCCACCCACCCTGTAGGTGTGCCTACAGAAGATGCAGTGTGTGCTGTAACAGCTCAGTGGATGGTACCTCTCTTTCCAGAATGGGATGGAAAAATACAAATTAGGGCTTTCTAAATGTTCCACAAAGGTCGTTGCACACAGGTCCCCTTTGTATTCACTGCTGAATGCTTTATGGTAACTGCTTTCAGATCCTCTCAGGTATTTAAAAAATGAAAATGAGATTAGCTTAGGGTCTATTAGAAACTTAGGTATTTGTGTGAGAAATTTATGTTAATTATACCGAGCCTGATGAGCTTATGCTAGCAGTAAGTGATTTTCTCTTGCGATGCTCATACAATACAGTCAGAAAGGTATTAAAATATCAAACTTCAGATAGTCTCATTCCCTGTCAATATAAAAAATATACTAGTGATAACATTTCCCCTCAATTACTCATTGAAAGAGGCTGATTTATCCCTGTGCTGCATTTTCAGCCTTCCTGCACAAGAAAGATTAAGTTATTTAATATGGATATGCATCTTTAAAAAAATACCCTGTCTGCTTGAAACTATCTCTTCTACAATAGAAATCCCTATTGGGTCACAAAAGATTTAGAGCAATCTTTTTTTTACAGGAGGCACCAAATAATTAAGATGTGCTGTACATTTCAGAAACTCTCACCTGTCACACGCAATTAGAGGTACCCAGGACTTGCACATAAATACGTGACCTGTTCATACCAAACACTTAATTTTGGGGCCTAATGACTGAGCTTGGGAAAATGATGAGCTAGTCAACACAGCAGTGTTTATTTCCCTGCTCCGATCTCTCTACAAAATGCACTAAAGGAAACACATTAAACAAATACTGTCCTGATTTCCCTCTCAAACATTGGCCCAAAACATAGAAAAGATGACCTGAAAAGATCTGGTCTGATAATCAGCTCTCATGGTGTATTTCCTCAGCAGGCAATGACCAAAGCTGACTAGGAGACAATTAATCCATTTGGCAACAACTTTCTAGGTTTCAAAAATGTGTATAAAATTTCCTAACACTGATACAAAGCTAAAAGAGCTTGTATCTGTACAAGCATGAGAGAAAAAAACCTGAGCAAAATTCAAGGAGCTGCTCTATAATGAAAAAAAAAATCAAGGGAGAACTGGATGTGTGAAAGATCCCAGCACAACGGGGATCACTCCAGAATTTAATGAATACAAGACAGAAATGAGATAGAGGAATAAAATAAACCAAAAAATTTTACAACTGGAAAAAAATAACCACCCTAAATTTGTCATGTACTTCCTCATTACTTTCTATCCTTCAGACATTTCTCCATCCACCTGTCTGGGTGGGCAAGTGTTCCTTATTCTTCATGGACAGTGAACTTTGAACTCTGGTACGACCTGCACTTTACTGCTCACTTCTGCCTTTTCAGCTTTAAGGATCCACCTTTATGAGGAGAGCAAAATCCTCTTAACCTGAAGATAATTTTCCTAAACCTTTGCACCAGAAATCTCTGCTCAAGTTCAAAAATATTTTTCAAAGAGCTTTTAGTAAAACGTTTAGCTCTGGAAGATGAGATTTAAAACACTTCAGTGGAGAGTTACTGAGAAATTCAATATGTTCCTAGTTTTGTGAGCAAGAGAAGCAAATTAGCATGCCAGCCTGAATCAGTTGTAAATTATATGAACTCTACTTGGTTGCACCTACTAGTAGTTTACAACAGCACATGGGCTAGTTAATAGGCCCTTCAGCCAGCACAAATGGACAAGTTTCTACTAAGCTGAGTTAACACTTGCCACTAGATCTCCTTGAAACCAGCCTTTACATTAGCAAGCTGCTTCCTGAAAGTATTTTTCATTAGGATTGAGTACCTCAAATCTCCAATCTTGTCTATACTACAGCAACACATTGCTGGGATTGAATCGATTTAAAAATCAATCTTGTTTACTGGGGTGCACCCACAATGCAGATTCACTTCCATCAGTTTAAGCATTGCATATATCTATTAAGCTTAACTTTGTAAATTCTTCGAAACAAAGGTTTCATCTAACTGATGTTTCCAAATTAAGTTCAATCAATAAAACGATGTTTAAGCTGATGTAAATATGTAATTACAAGTTCGCACCAGTTTAACTACAATTGATTTGTCACTGGCTGATGTTGCACTGGTGCTCCCTTGGAGGAGGGAAGTCACAGGATAGCAATTACTCCTGAAAGCATTTCACTGTGCATTTGAATTTCCTTCTTAATGTAATGCACTGTATTGTATGTGAATTACAATTAACAATATCAGATTAGTAATTTTAAGCATAAACTATGAAAACAGCAAACCTTTTTCCCTTTTGCTCAGATTCCAAAACCCAGCCAGCTGTTTCTGATTAGGAAAGCTGTTCCATGCTGCTATTTACTCTTTTTTTTTTTTTTTTTCATGTTGCAGCTAATTGCCTGCTGTTCTTACCTGTAATGAGTGTAAGGAGTAAGGTTTGGTACCTCCAGCATCTGAGCATCAGGTTCATTCTCCACCTCATGAAGACTCACCCATTCTTCCTCATCACCCAGCACACCAACCTATACAAGGGGAAGGCAAGAGGGAATACAAAGCAGACCATATATATAAAAAAACCAAATATATACAACCTCTTTACAATGTGTGCCATCACAGCAGTGAAAACACAAATGCTGTTAAACACATATTATCTAATTAATACTATTTTTTTTTCTATTACAAGACACTAGATATTTGTGAAAACACAACCAAGTTAGCTAAGTTTCCTTGTACCTGTTGGGACTTCACTGGATCCTGTGATAAGATCCATTCCAGAAATACACCCTGAGAGGAGTAATACCCTGCTCAATCTTGCTGCCACAATACAAAAGTATCAAGTAGTAATATAAGAAAGTGAAAAATAGCCTTGATAATAACTTGCAGGAACTGATGCATACTAAGTAAGTCTCAATGGAAGCAAAATGTCACGGAAATGAAGACAGAGAAACAAGAGCAAAGTCAAAGAACAAAAGTGGTTTAACCTCATCTGCTGCTCTGCACTTAGACCAGACTTTTGCATGTGCAATCCTTTGTATTAATTAATCACAACATGTTGCCCAACATGGTCCCTCAGCTACAGCAGTGTTGGAAGGGACGAAGTAGTGATGAGAATTGAGCATTGCTTTCCATTCTGTTTTCTGGAGATTAAATGAAGATTGAAAGACTTAAAAGGAAGCCAAGAAGGCATGAGAGAAAGGCCAGAGTCTGACCTGGGACCCTGGAGGACAGCAGCACTCACGGGGAGGGATGTGTGCCTGGGAGTCACACGAGGAGCACAGAGAAGGGGAGAGGAGAGGGGGCAGATGGTTGGGCTTCACTTTGGAGATTTGCATGTGCTGGAATACAGGGGAGCTCAGGCAAGGTTCCCTGGTAGAATTCCCTAGCACTGTGCACATTTATTCAAGTGTTTCAACTCTGCCAGTACCTGTAGCCCAATTCCTTCAGCCTGGTATCCACAGTCGTGGGCTGAAGGCTATTAGAGGGTACATGGGCAGATATTCCCTTCAGTGTTTATTTATAGACTTAACATCTGTGAAGACACCTTATCCTTTTTTAACCTACTGACACTATCTACTCCCACAGACTGCTGTGGCAACAAATTCCAGAAGCTCACAACCCACTGTGTAAAGAGCTATTTCCTTTAATCTTTTTTAAACAGATCCCTTACGAGTTCTGTATACAAGTTACAGCCATAGACACTGTCAAAGCACTCGATAGGCACCACAGCCCAAAGTATCTAGCATACCCCAAGTACTTCAAATAGAAAATTAGGTTTCATTCACTCTTTTTTTTTTTCCCTTCAGGAGAAGCAGCCTCATTTATTTATAGATGTTTTAGTTCTTCGCTCACCCAGGACTTGATGTGCTGCATATTTATGTTTGTGCATGAAGAAATGACACAAAGAAAATTAGGCCAAAGATATAAGTTCTGAATTGCACTGTGGAAAGAAGCCTCAGTGATCTTCCTAGCAGAGCACTGCTTCCATGGAGGGATGTGGCTGAACAGGTCTTGATGGGCCTTTCACTCTTGTTGGTGATCAAGGTCACTGCCACCCACTAAACAATATATAAAGTAGATGGTAGTGAAGATTATGGACCTTTTAAAATACCCAGTCCTAACCAAGCTCCATAAATTCTAGTAATGGATGGATGCAGAAGCTTAAGGGAAATGAGTTGAGAGAGGTCTGCATTGCAAAACAGAACATCTCTAAACTGAACCCAGGAACAAAGAGATGATAAAGAGAATTAGGAAAAGAACCCTGCATGGACAAAGAAAGGATGAGAGGGTTGAGTTCAGTCAAGAAAACAGAGAACACTTTTTATTAAATGAGTTTTCTGTTAAGACTGTAGAAAGTCTATAATAAATGCTTATTTTTGCCAATCTTGCACTTAACAGCATCACCTCCAAGTGCTGCAGTAATTGTATAGCAACAATCCACAGAGCTCAGGAGGCTGCAAATAATCTCCAGTGGTGACTAAGTCATCTTTTTGTATTTGAAAAGCAGGAAGAGTTTTTTGAAATATTTCTTTCTTAACCAAAAAAAAAAAAAAAAAAAAAGAAGAAAAAAAGGCACACAGGTTGCAGTTGCTGAGCAGCAGCAGCAGACAGGTCATTAATACACATTAAGGACCACATGGCCCAGCCCCAGCAGCTCACAGGGCTGGGAACACCTGACATTGACTCAAGCTTGAGAGGTGTCCAAACCTCCACCTGCTTTGCAGCAAGATGTTTACTGGCAGGATGCAAAGGTGGAAATATTAAGGATCTTATACTGGTTGAGAAGCAGAACACAGGCAAGTCCCTCAGGAGCCATCCCAGGAGACAGTTTTCTGGGTGTGAATGCTTTCCCTGGTAGGAATGATGGGTGCAGTCTATGAGGAAATGGCAGATGCCAAGCAAAACCAATGTGTTGGTTGTACCCAAGCTTAGGAGACAGCTGGTAACAGTTGTCCAACACCTGTAGTGAGAGGTGGGGGATGACCATGGGCAAAGCAGCAGTGCAGATAGTCCTAAATTAACAGCTTTTAGACTCATTTTCTGACTAAATTAGTGACAGAGAGCCAGCAAAATACAACTACAGGCACAGATCTGTGATTCAGCAAAAGACTTGAAGAAAAATACATCAGGAACTTGCCTTATTTAGAATAATGCCTTGTAATGTTCCCTGGATCTGGTGCCAACATTTGGGAAACTAACTTCTACTGCAATCAGTAGCATATTTTAATATCTATGTTTTGTGTGGAGAGTTTTTCCAAAGCAAGAGGATGGAAGGGTGAACAGTAGGGCAGATTGGAAAACAGCCTGGGGACTTCTGCAGGACCTCAGACTTGGGGCCAAGGTTCATGTTACTCAAAAGAAGCTTCATTTATTTTACACACATATACATACATAAACACACACACGTACACACACGTTATATATAGTCTCAGAAGTGAGTCTTGGAAGAAACCCTTCAATGATGGGCTTCTATATTTTTAAATTCCCCAAGATCTATAGCAGATTCCAAGTTTCAGGCTCTGGAAGGAAAAGGAAATTATTTTTGCTGCAACACTCTGATGTCAGATCAGAGGAAACGTATCAGTTTCAAGAATCAGAGTACAAAGAGATTCCCACGGGGCAAAAAAGAAGTACGGGCAGTGGTACGGATAAAAGAGTCCTTTGAGGGGCAGGAGAGTCCACTCTGAGCCACTCTGCATAAAATCAAGTGAAGTTAAAGGCTTCTTTCTTGTAGCTGTTTTTTTGGATAACGGTGTATGCAAACTTCAGAGCGGGATCGTGTTTGTTGACAGATGCACATGTTTTCGTGGGTGCATTGTTTTGAGAGGCAGATGAGACACCAACTGCTTTCCTGTTACCGTCGGCATAAAAACTCCTCAAGGAATGCTCTCTGCATCTTCCCACTTCTCTGTACAACGGGGCTACAATGCACAATAAAAACACCTATGTCCCCTGAGACACTTCCTATAATGCTCCGTAACGATCAGCCATCACTAGTTAGCACATATTCATTCCCATCTCTCAGCTGCTCCCAAGGCATTACTTTCAATAAAAGGGCATATTCCTCTATTATTACAGAAATGAGACAGTATAAAACAATATTGGAAGTGATGTCAGATGCTTTTACTTCTCTGTGCATTAGTTTCTCCATTTCTTAAAAGGAAAATGTTACATTTTTGAGAAAATGACTCACCATTTGCTGATGGAATGCACTGTATGAGCAAAGCTGCAACAAATTCTGACTTAAAATAAACCCAAAATAATTACAATTTGGAATGAAAAAATCATTTACATAAGACATCAGTGCCTCCAAAATTCTGAACAGTTATGAAGTTCTCAGTGCAAGGAAGGAAAGCACAATGTTTCTGTACATTACAGAGGTACCCTGTGTTCTACTATAGTTCAAGATGTGTCAGAGTTTTCATTTTAGAGGTCCATAACTCACACATTTGAAATCGCTTTGGGAGAAATTCGGTTCGTGGGATGTCAGCCTGGCTGCAATTTTTTTCCTTACTAAATCCTTAAATCGATTCAGCCATTTTTGATTTAAAGATTGTCAAAGGCATAAAATTGTCAGAGTTTCAGACACTTTATTTACCAGCTCCAAAGTGAAAACGACACCAAGAGAATCACCTGGTACAATGGATGAATCCTATCTGGGTCAGTGACTTAACCCAGGAAACCAGATAAATTCATGGTTAAAGTTGCAACGTCTTTCCCAACTCACAGCTTCAGAAGGGAATACAGGGCTAATACTTTAAAGGTTTTACCACTTTGAAACTCTGCTACTGCTCACCATGACATTCATACAAAATCTCTCTAAAAACAGCAGCAAAGCTGTAAGCAAAAACTCTATAATAGCCCACACACTCATGGCTCCAGGAAATGTAATACCTCTTCAGAAATGGCTTTCAGCCATTCCACAGGTCTTCTGCTGTCTGTAAATAACATGAACCACCAGAAAAAAACCACCAAACTGGGCAGAAGGTAGCCCAGCATTTCTAAAAGCTCATTGCTATGGACTAGAGCACCCACCAAGGCACAGACACGATGATGTCATGATGAGTTGAAACTGGGTGATCTTTAAGGTCCCTTCCAACTCATACCATTCTATAATTCATTTATGTGCTTCTCCTGACAAAACCCCAGGAAAAATCCAACACAAGCAAAATAAGCTGAAACTGGATTGCAGCAGACAGAGAGCGCAAACATGAAAGCACATCAACACCAGCAGGGACTCATAGTCATTCTGGGCTGAAAATTGCCAAAAGAAAGTCTGCAATATAGACTCTAACTGCATCTGAGAGTACAGGATGGCTGGAAGGATTTCCTGAAATTCTTTGGGGAGAAACAAGTTCCCTGTGAGTGTCAATGTCACGAGGCAGTTACTGCTGGTCCCCCTGAACAAGTGTCAGCAGAACCTTTATATTACATTTGACTCTCCTCTTCTTTTTAGATTCTACTCTGTGCAATGGAAAAACACTGTTAGAAATATTTTTTAAATAGCAGTGGTGCATTTTGGTGTTTTTTTTTGTTTGGAAATCCAGTTTCCTCCAGTCCTCTGAGTCTAGATAAAAAGATGGAAAAGAAGCAACGTAGTGATTTTTTAAGAAATCCCTTCAAAAGTACAGAACTTAGCTTTGCTAGAAACACAGAAATGGGATTTTTAACGCTTGATATTTCAGTATCTAGCAACACTAAACTCTAAAAGACCTGATTTTCCTCTCATGTTCATTGACATAATTGAGAATTAGTTCCACAGTGGCTCCCGTGAATTTATGCCGCGGCACAAAAAGCAGAAGCCAAGGCCAGATGCACAAAATTTCACGTCAACTGGAATTCCCAGCTGTGTTTTTCATCCAAATTGTTCATGAAGTATCAGACTTCAAAAATGGCTCTTAGCCAAACTGGAGTACTTGGAACATTTTCTAGACCTGCCCTCACCAAGGAAGCTTTCTGCCAAATAAAGGAACAAAGAAGAAAAACACACGTTGGTGGCAGGTTGCTTGTGTGTGTGAATATAAAAGAGCTGAATTTTGTCTGTAAGGGCTCAGACATTCTGAGTGAAAGGTGTATTCCCAGTAGAGATGGAAGAGGCAGAATGTAAGGGATGTCCAATGCAAAGCCCAGCTTACAGGAGAGGAGAGAGATGAAGTGCATGACATACAGAACAGTGTTTTATAGTTAAATGTGATCCCATCACTTGGCAATACCATCTGTTTTAAAATCACAGTATGCAAAACCACCCCTTAAGTGGCTTTTAATTTAATGCTAAGGCATGAAACACTTAACAGTGCTATTAAAAGCTGTACATGGGTCAGTGAATGAAAGATCCAGAAGGACAAAAATCCTCCCTACATTTCTGCTCAGAATATACCTTTGAGGGTGGGATATAACCACTACCCTTTAATCTAACACAGTCCTAAGGAACAATTACAGTTGTCTATGCTAAAATACAGATGTTGCAACAGCAGTTTGCACCCCAGCACAGATAAATCCCAGCTTAGAACGGGCTACATGAAAGGCAGAAGTGAAGAGTGTCACTGGCAGCTTGTGTCTCTGAAAGGTGGGCAGGGAAACACAAGGCACATCCAAAGCAGCTTAGGTCCAAGTGAGGATGGAGACATTCCTGCCCTCATCTCTGCTCCCAGTGCCATGTTCACACTCCCTCCTCTTACAATGATGCTCTTCCAATCACACACAGCCTGCACAGAGAGTTGATCTGTCTGAAACTCACTTGTTCTTGGCTGGATCAAGGCTCGAAGCAGCTCTGGGTATGATCCTGCCTGAGTCAGTGCACGCAGGAGGCAGGTGGAAAGTTTGGTAAGTGTGATGGGGAGAAGGAATGGGAGCAGGACAGCAAGAACTCTGGTTTAGATTGGCTAAAGGTGCTGTGAAATTGCACTTTAGGAGAGAAAGAGTTTGAGAGGAGTGCTGGCAGAAAAGGGCTGTGAACAAAGGATTATATGCAGCTGTCATCCTGGAAACAGGATTTGCTATATCCTTAAGGAGCCACCAATTTCTCTGCATACCTGAAAAGATTCTTCTTAATCAGGTGAGCAAGAATTTTTACTTTTTTATTAAATCTACTGGGAACAGCATTTCTTGTTGAGCCAAAGCTGAACAATGGCGTGTGATGAAAGAGAAACTTGGGCAGGTGTGGTGAAAAGAACTGCCCAGACTCCACAAGGACTTTGGTGTGCTCCTTCCCCAAACTGAGCAAATAATTCCTTGACCAATCAAAACCATGAAACTTTGACTTTTCTAGCAATGCATGAGATGTTGATGAGGGTTTGTGAAAAAGAAAGACCTTCCCTTCCCTCCCTGCACACCAAGGACCATTGAAACCACTGTTTGTACTCAGGGCTCTTCAAGGATGCAGATGAACTTCATGGTAATTATCACTGCAGTTTTAAAGCATTCAAATTTATTTCACTTCAGTGGCATTCTGCAACTCACGGAATTCACAAATTCCTAGCACTATCAAAGTGGCATTCCAGCAGGAAAATGCTTCTCAGAACATGCTAAGCCACCATATTATTGGATTTCAGTGTTTAATTCTGTAACATGCAATAATGTGTATATAAATGGCACAAAATGTACCAACTTGTTCACAACAATCTCATTACCAAGTGAAGTGATTGTATCAACATGTCTAAGTGGTGACGGTGATTTAAGAAGTCCAACATTTGGTCTTAAAAACAGATTATATTATTTATAAAGATCTGTGGGTGGAAAGGAAGAAGCAAAGCTCATCTGTCAGGAGAACAAATGAGGAATATATAACTCCTCCAAGGCATAATGACAGCAGAAAGAGGGATATTGTTTAAAGCTGATGGAGAAGAGAATTCATCCTATTCATATCTAGAGGCCTGGATAGAAAACCTCAGTATATATTCCATTACAAGTGAGAAAAATACACTCAGTCTCATGAATAATGGTATCTTTACTGTTCAGTGCAATTCTTCCTATACGTCTGAATCTATGAGATAATAATTCCAGGTTTTCATGTGGTTTGAAAAGACACCTCACAGAACCTAAACACAGGTTTCAAATCCTTTTTTTAAATAAATGGATGGACTAAAGCTCTGCTGTATGTGCTGCCTGTGGTTGTATCTGGTGTTCTTCTGACCAAAACCAAACCAACTCTACAAAAATCCATGTGAATTATTTAAAGGATAAGCATTCTCACATATATATGTAATATCCATTTTGCTTTTGTTCCTTTGAACAGAAGTTACAGCATTCATATGACCTTTTCTCCATGGCTGACACACAGACATTTCTCAGCTGAGATTCTCAAGCTCCCTCACATCCCAACCTTCCCATGGCCCCCTGAACAGCTACCACCAACTGGCCTCATTTACAGAGGAGCTGTCATCCAAAGTGAAATAAAAACTGCAATCCAAACAGCAATTCACTACTTAGACCCCTTTTAACCCTCAGAAACTTCATTAGAGCTTTCTGCTGGGGACATACCTGGCCTTCAACTATCCACTTGCAGATGGAGGTTTTGCCATCATATCCTGGACGGAACTGAAGTGTGGCAGAGCGAGGGCTGATGTTGGAAATCACCAGGTTGGATGGAGCACCTGGCAGTTCTGGAGGAATAGAAATGGAAATGAAAGATGGAAACACAAGCTGACATTGAGTGTTTCAACATCTAAAACACCTTGGGAACTACCATAATAGAGCAAATGGCTCTACTTGCCCCAGTTGTAGTTTTTGTTCTTTGCTCTCTGGCAGAGTGTTTCATACAGCTTTACTATTTCTGCTGCTCGAAACATGCACTACATTTTTGCAGACCAAATAAGAAAAGAAAGAGCCCATCTAGAGAATTACAGGTACTATTTTAGAGAAGCTGCCCAACAAACAAAGCCTGAGGGCTCTGGGGGGAAGGCACTTCCCAGCTCCAGGTCTGCCCAATCACCTAATTCCATTGTACTTCTGTTTCTCCAGAATTAAATGACAATCATTTTTACTTACTTCTTAGAGCACATAAAACTAAGAACAGAAAATGTTCAAATTTTTAGGTAGTGTATAAGGAAGATTTATAATCAGTAATCACCTTGTGGAAGGTGTCCCTGCCCATGGCAGGGGGTTGGAAGTAGATTATCTTGAAGGTCCCTTCCAACCCACAACATTCTGTGATTCTGTGATAATGCTGCACTATGTGCAAATGCAACAGGCCAAAAATAGGCAGGTTTTTGGCATATATTTCAAGTATGCATGAATACACAATATTTCCTGATTCTTACTTCACATTTATGGGAACTAGGATCAATAAACTAACCCTGCCCAAGTAGGATAATGCTGTTATCTGGCTAACAACAGGGAGCATGGCATTGATCCAGTCTACAACTTGTCACAATTACCTATGATTAGGGAAAAGGCAAACATATTTCAGGTCATAGAGAAAAGTCCAAAAATCTGGAGAAGGGAAAAGCTGGAATATCCTCAGTGATGTACAATAACTGCTACACTTTGGAAATTCTACTTCTTTAACCTATATATTAACTGAAACTGCTCGTTTGAGGTATGAATTGGCTATTTAGTTTGGTATTTTATACTGGATGAGGGAGAGTGTAGAGTTTCAAAAACAAAATGCAAAAGGCTAAATGCACAGGTGCCCAACTGGTAACTCAGACCATGCAGGACAGAACTACCTCTTCCCAAATCTTTCTCAGGCCACAGCTTCAAAATCTTGTACATAAGATCTTAGCTTCACTATACAAGTAACCTCTTATAGTTAACATAACCTATACTACTTTTACATGGAAAATCCTTCCCCTTTTAGCACCATCCAAAGTCTATTTTTTTCCCCCAAGGCAACACTTTCTGAATTGATTCAGGCTTCATTCTGATGTCACTTTGTAAATGTCAAGTGATTCTGTATTGTATCCACTTTATTACTTTGCCCATTCCATTGTCATACCTACAATTTTTTTGTATTTGTATTAAACCACCTCAACTTTCTGGAAATTTCAAACTGCAAGTATGTTCATGTTAACATCTCAATCTGTTCTAAAAATTCAATTTAACTTACGTGGTAAAGAATTTCAATGTTTTATAAAATAAAACCATTTTTATTATTGCTGAAGTATCTTGAGGAAAAAAACCTCATGAAGAATCAGCACATTTTCTTTCGTTTCATGCAGTTTCACCAACCTGGGGGCACACCAGAGGAGATGGTGGAGGATGTGACCCATCCACTCCCTTTTGCAGTCACAGCTGCCACCTCGATTGTGTAGGTGGTGAGGGATGAGAGCCCTGTGATCTTGTACTCCAGGGTGGTGTTGGACAGTGTGCGGGCAAGGCGTGATTCATTCCTGCCATACACCTCCCAGGAGATCTGGTACCCTGAAAAAACAAGCACACCCAAGTCAGGGGCTATGGTTTTCCTTCTAAAGCCCAGTTATACAATACCCCAGAGATGGGTAAATTCCTGCATCCACACGATCTGCTTGTGGTCAGTGGTGGATCCTTGTTCCATGCTCCACTCTACTGTGGTAACCTTTTATAAGCAGAAAAAAACCCCTTAAAGTAAACACTGGCTAAAACACCCAAGTATTTTTCTAAGATTGTTACTTCCAATAAACAACTGATGTAGGTACCCTACAGGGCATCATCTGCCTGTCAGATTACAGATGGAGAGGACAGGAGATCTTAACAGACTGTCTCTTTCTTTCCTATGACAATACAGTGCTTGCTGTGAAATGGTTTGGAAACCTGGGGATAATGTCACAGAAGGGTGGACTTTAACCCTGTGAACTCTACAAAGCAGAGAGGAAGAAACACTGAAAAATATAACATCTACTCATCAGCTGGAATATCTAATTTAAAATCTATATGTGCTTAGTAGGGCTACTCCCTCTCCAGGCTGGAGTAACCTTCGCTGCTGTATATCTAGAAATACTTAGAAACCTGACAATAACAACCAGGCAGGAACATTGTGGGAATCTTCTAGGAACTGAGAAACCTCTACTCCCCACCGCTTGTTCCTTGCACAAATCCTTCAGCAGGGTGAATCATTATCCTTTCTTTCAAACCCATAATGGAGTCAATGCATTGTCCAAAGCTGCACTTGCCCTGACCTCCATATTATTCTTCTATCATAACCAGGCTTTCCTTTTTATCACTTTTATAACCACTTGCCTTCCAAGAACTTTTGAAACTTTCTACTGTCTGATTTGCTCAATTCTACCTCAAAATCTGCTTGTCCTCTCCTGCCCAGTCCCACTTTATTCTCGTTTGAACCCATTTGAACCTCGCTGTGTCGGTCTCCAGAGAGTGTGTCTGAAAAGTTTGCTTGATTGCAGCTTTCTTTGTGATTTGACTCAGAGGGTGAAAAAAAAAAATACACATAGCTCTTGAATGCCTGTGAAATGGAAGTGAGTGAAAAGGACTAACAGAAAGGAATCCCACTGAGTGAACCATGCACGAGGCAAACTGGCTAGAGAAACTCCCTACTGGGTTCCTGTTCCCATCATCTAAGATGAGGAATTCAGACCAGTTGGAGGGCTTGAGGCTTTTTTTCCTTTTTACTTTTTTTAATAAAAAGCCCCCCATGATAAGCTGATTAACATATACAAATTGACATAGCACAATCACTTATGGTATTAATCAACAACAAAACATCATCTCATGAGCTAAAAGCATGGTGAGAAATATTTCTGTGAGAGTTTGAGAGGTGTGAGATGTTCTCCATCCTCTCGTGTGGGCTGCCAACACTGACAGAGGTTCATCTTAACCTGATTTTGCATGAAAATGGGCTCTGTGTGCTCACGTAGTCACTAATTACGTTTCAGGTGAGTGGACAGTGATAAAGGGAGGTGATGCTTCAACAATTCCAGCTACACCACAAAGGCTTCTCTGACTATACACTACTGAGGGGAAGGGGAAAAACTCCTGAACGCTCATCTGGAACCAGCTTTAAATAAGTGTCTGAGTGGGAATTAATTAAGCCAGTAATTTACCAATGTCTTGGAAACACTGTGGTGTTTTGATGCTCTCTGAAAAGGCTTAAGAATCATTTACCAGAGCAGGGCTGATGTGGCACAGGCAGGATTATGATCTGTAGGAAGATTTGGCCAACATTTAAGAACAATATTGCCTACATAAACAGAGGGTGAGCAGAAAGGTGGGGGGTGACTGTCCCCTGTATTTGATGCTCACTGAAGTGACACGAAGGAGTTGCAAACAGAAGGACCATCACAAACACCCTTTCCTTTCAATAGCTGTGGGTGCAGCTTGTTCCAGGCAATAAATAACCAGAGGAAGATAAGCAGGGGACTTTTAATGCTCCCTCTATCCATTTGTTCCTTACAGACAATGGAAAGTGTCATTCACCATGCACCAGGCAATCTTCAGTGATTGAGATATCTTCTCTCCCATCTAGATAAGCTTAGGTTATATATCAAATGTTGGTGATTATTCTTTGGACATTTTATGTTTTCTCCCTTGTGACCACAGGATGAGCCCCAGCTTTCCTGCCCATTAGGCACATAGTCTCTATGTATTTATTTTCTGAAAAAAAAAACCCCTTCACCAGGAAAAATATCCTGAGTTCATGTGTAAATTGAAGAAAAGGCAAACAGGCAGCATTTACTGTTGGATATTTCAGTCCCGAATGTATAGTTAAATTCTAGTCATATCAAAGATGAGAACAGAAAATGTGTACATACACAGTGAGCAGACACAAAGCCAAATGCAATCATGCATAACAAAAACAGATGAAAAAAATCCTGAAGGAAAGGAACAACAACCACTGTAACCCCAAAGTAGCACTTAAGCCACAATGACTGACAGATGGGCAGAACTTTGGGACTTTTGGTTGCTGAAAACTCACTCTGTGTTACAGATGTAATCACTGCCAGAAACATGCATGGGGGAGCACAGTCAGCCTGGGCTCAGAGGGTTTCCTCTGGCTGAGTGAGAAAAGGAAAGGTGCCACAGAGCCTTCCCCCACGCTTTGGCACTCCACAAAATGCTGCCTAACGGCAACTAATGACCAGAGGAGTTTCAGAAATAATTTTCTGTTGATGTGGAGTAAATTCTCTACAAGAGAGCAGTACACCCAATCACAAACTGTCCCTCTACATCCAGGTCCTCATAAATCAATGTTTACTGAGGGAACGAGGAAGATACTGAGATTTACAGCAAGAGTAATGGGCAATTTCCCTGTGCAGGCTGCCTGCCGGGCACCCCTCCGTGCCTCCCTCCTCCCAGCGCCCGAGCACGGAACAAGAAGGTCCAGTAAAGACATCAATGAGCAGAAATGATGAATAATTGCCTCCCTGAGCACTAAGATCTCCAAGCAGCCCTCTATAAACCTTTGAGGTTCTCAGGGCATGAACAATTTTGCTGCTCTTCTATCCCAAACACAATTTGCCTCATTAAGGACATTTCTTTCTCCTTATAAACTTTGCTGGGCATTTTCACACTGGTGTTTTGTCATGAACAATAGAGCTTCTTTAGTGAATTCTTTCTGAAACAATTTACCCCAAATATAACACAGTCCATCATTGTGCTCTACCAGGTATCAAGTCATTCTAGGAGGCAGCAATTTGCTTCTAGCAAAGCAATTCTGCAAGCCCAAGCCTAGTGATGCTACCTGGTGCTTAACAAGGATTAGTATTACATCATCTTAGATAGTGAGGCTTGGATGTAGGTACCTAAATTTAAGCACTCAGGCTTGAAAGGCTTTGGCCATCTTCACTGAATCAATACTGCTCTGCTTTCAGAAGTCATTAGTTTCTATTCTCAAACCACTTAAATCAGTGCATATTTCAGGAAGGTTACCATGATGGAAAGGCAGGAGATGATCTGCATAAGGACTTCACGTACGCTACAAACAGCATGGAAGACACAGGTACAAATGGTGTATGTTAGAGATACACTTGTCAGTGTTTCCTCTGTGTAAGTCCTATCAAAATAATTAGACCTGTCAAAGTTAAAATGCTTCAGGAAATTAGACTCAAATATCATTTCATGGTCAAGGGTCAAAAGTCTGATTTCTTTAAACTCCTAAAATGTTTTCTTTTACAAATGATAATACAATTTTTAAAAAATAATTAAATATTTCAATGCCAATGCTCCCAAACCAAAATATTTTCAGCCATGTGAAATGATCTTCCTTCCTAACTATGTTTTTTAGCTCCAGTAATTTAAAATTTGGGAGCTTTTTTGTGCTTCAAAACCTTGAAAGCCTTTGTTAAATGGAATGTCCATCCTGTGCAGCTGTAATAGTTTCCCATCTGAAAACAATATTGCCTCTGTTGATAAGAACTAAGAGTTTTTCTCAAGTATTTATAGCTTCCTTTATGAAAAATAATGAAGTTGCTGATGTTGTATCTACCCTGGCATACAGTAAATAGATAAATAGCTTGTCAAATGGCAGACTCATCAAAGGGAAACAAGAGAGTTCTGAACCCTTGTGATGGTTTATAACAGATTAAGCAATGACATGCAAATTCTGTCACGCCGTCCACAGCCAGACCACTTGATCACAGATGAAGGATACTGCTGATTTCAGGCTTGGTCTTGATTGCAAATCTTAACAATGCCAATCCAAATTTTGCAGCTGGAAACTCTGTGTAGGAACCTCCCACCCCTGGGGCAAAGGCCAAATAGAGTCTCACAAAATTCCAGAAATTTAGTAATGCAGGCAGAGGTCACGGAAGATTTAACAAGACCAGAAACTCTGTGGGGAGCTGATTTCTAACACAAACTGCCTTTCCAGTGACCACAATCATGAGCTGCCAGTAATAGAACCTGGACCTTCTGTTACACACGCTGATGACATCTCAATTACCCAAAAGAGGGACAAGGAAAACAGTGCCCACAGTAGCCAGTTCTCCCTAAACACTGTTATACAGAGTTTTTCACTGCAATGATACATTCCAATCCACACATACTTAAGAAAAGAAAAGGAGAGCCAGCAGCTGATACCTGTGATGATGCCATTTTTCTCTATGGGTTCTTGCCAGCTGACCTTGAGCGAGGTGTCCAGAATCTCGGTGAAGCTCAGGTGTCCTACTGCTCCTGGCTCTGGCAGTCAGAAAAGGAAAGCTGTTAATAGCAGAACTCCCCTTAATTGTGAACTGATTCATGTGGTAAGGCTAGGGATGAAGAAAAACAGCGGTGAGCCAGGGCCAAGGGAAGCTGAAAACATTGGTGACAGGGAGAAGGCATGGTGGAAACACACACTCTGGCTATCATCCTGGTGACAGGGAGAATGCAAGGTGGAAACACACACTCTGGCTATCATCACAGAAATAATTTCACCCAGTCATCATACCAGCTGTGTGGAGAATCAAAGAGAGTGGAAGCAGGAGACTTGCACACAACTTGTTCTTTCCTCTCTTCTTCATTTAACTTCATGAGCACAACCAAGCTGGCAATCCTGAAAGTGATGGTGTTTGCCATTTTCCCTCACCAACAGGTGTGTGGTTTTTACCTGCACTGTAATGTGTAGCTTATCTGGCCCCAGGTCTGTGGCAACACCACCAGCAATTCCCTCAGCTGGAAAGAGTCTTTTCCCTATGCAAGGTCACAACAAGGACAGAGTCACCAAGCTACTGCTTGGATAGATTTACTGAAAACAACTCTAAAAACATCCAACATAATGGCAACTGTCTTCTGTAAAATGAATACAAGTGTGTGAAACTTTTAAAGGGTTTTTATGATGTAGCTCAAGAGCTCTTAAAAATTTCAGCTCCCCAGTGTGCAATGAAAGAGCATAAAATGGAATGACTGTCAAGAATATGCCATCCTCCCTCAATTTCGATCTTCAAGGAAGACAACCTGACTGATTTTTGATCCAACTGCTGTTCTGTCCTCAATCGATGTACTGGAAAAAGGAGGTTTTGTTCACTTTATATTCACTGTGCTTCTATCATTGGATCCCTGCCTGAGTATCCTCCAGCTCCACTGACATCAGTTGGCAATTTCTCGTCTGCAATTTCATATTTTGTTTCCTCTTCAATTTAGTCCAGTCTCTCATTTGCCTCCAGCTATGACAAAAAAAGACCAAACCCTGCCAGTAGATCAGCTACAACCCCATTTGCAATTCTGCAATCCTAGTGAGGAAAATTTCCAAATCCACTCTGCGAGACCCAGTAGTCAAAGCATCACAGAACTGCTGATCCGGTAGTGACCCTAGGAATATCCAACAAGAGCACAGTAATTACACACCACTGGGGACCATGGATCTGCAGACATGGAAACCACATACTTTACTCCACTTAGCCCCTGCAGTTGCAGTCCAATTTTAATGTCATCATGAAACACAGGTGCAGGTGACTCCAAGCCAGGACAGGATGCTTCTGACTGGATGTCAGAATTTATCTGACCTACAGTTCATCAGCAAACAGATCGGTTTGCACTATTATTTCTCTGAAGAATTGCCTAACTTCACTATACAGACAGAAAATTATCACCTGCAAACATGAATGACAGTCCTTTTGGATCTTTTTTCCTCACCACATAAATCCTGAAACAACTGAGATTCAAGGAGTTCTCTGCAAAGATGCATTATACCATCCTGCACTTAACTTTTCAGTCCCTGTGAAACCTGAGGGAAGCAATTCTGAAGGATTAAAAAAAAAATAAAAATAAATCCTGCTCATCTCTACTGCTGACTACTACTTCAAAAGATTGACAAAATACAAGTCTGGCTTTCTCTTGCTTTATGTTTCCTGATAGAATTTTGTGGTGTTAAAGACAGGATGTGATCCAAGCATTTCCCTGAGATAGTCTCAATGTCTTGGCTCTGCCCCTTCTCCCACTTTGTAGAAAGTCTTTAAGGCTCATTTCTGCAGCCTTTCCTTCAGCAGAAATATTAGGAGTCTCTTTCCTGAGACTGATTAATTTTTGTGAAATCTTAGGAGCCTTGTACCTTTGGTTTCTTACTCTTCTGTACTCACCAAAATGAGCCACAGGGTTCAACTGTCCTTGGAGGGGAAAGACAGATGAACCCAAGACAGACAGTTCAACACATTTACAAACCATCACTGCCTAATGCTTTGTTTCGTTAGGAAAACAGGCAAAAAGGTTGATACACGTTTCTTTCCATCACACCTTTTGCTTTAACCCCAGTAAGAGTTCACATTAGTGGCTCACACAGATTTCAGGTAGCTAAATTACTATCTCTGGTTTAAGTTTACAACCTGCTCTTGGGACACAGGTCTAGTATATGGACAAGGCTAACCACAAAAGGAAAATCCATAGGAAAGTATTTAATTTTCTCTATGTTCTTTCAAGAGTATCTCATGAAAAATTGGATTAGCACTTTGAGCCTCACTTCTGTGAATGTTAATGACAATCGGATTTTTCTTTACGGGAACACTGACTAACCTAGAAGATCCCAACTAAGGCAAAGTAGTATTTCTAAAAACAATATCTTAATGGATGTATTAGACACTTTTTATTCTGATTTGAATCTGTAAATGTGCAGCAGTGTTTAAGATACTCCAATACAGGAAGATAACAAAGCATTGGCCAGAGCCAAGATCTCTGTGGGCAGTTAGCTGTGAGGGCCACTGCAATTTAGTTCTTATCTGAATAAGGCACACACTAGACTTGTTAGTCCCAAATATGTCTTGAGCAAACACTTCCAAGCAGCCAAAGAGGTCAAAACATTTTCTGACGCAGGAAGTAATTTATATGCTAAACCATCCAGCTCATTTTACTTCATCCTGCCTCCAGTTTTTCAGCCTAAAAGGTACTGCCTTGCCATGATCCTGGTTCTTTCACACAGATGCTTGCAATATAATATAGATACAGACATTTTCAATATATTGAACAACAGAAGGAAACAACTGTAAATTAATCATTGACCTCCACAGGAAGTTCCAGTGCTCAGTTCCTAGGAAGATCAATTCATATTTATTTGGGTGCCTGAACATGCATTTAAGAGCACAAGGATTAACAGACATAAACAACATGTTGTGTGTTGGCTGAACTAGGAAGCTCTGAACTTCTGATCAATGTCCACTTTTAGTCCATAATGAGAAAGAAAATAAAATCAAATATTTACTACAAGCTAGAAGAAGACACATGGAAAACTGGTTGAAGTCATCATCTGACACAACCTAACTCAGGAAGAGATTGCAAACTGATTGTGAACCTGAAGTCAAATTTTAAGTACACAGATTAAAAAATGATGGCTTTTATATCCAACCAACCAAAACCTGAGTGCTGAGGTTCTCTGGCAGTGCTGATACTCACTGTCTTCAAGGGTGCGCAGGAGCTGGGGTGGACTCCGTGGGCCGTCGCCTGGTGTGGTGAAGCACAGGACTGAGGTGTAGTAAGTGGTGTATTTCTTCAGGTTGGTGATATAGCCACTATGAACACCATGAAAATCAGGAGCGATGGTGACCACAGTCACACTCTCTGGAGCATCCACCGGCCATGCCAAAAGCTGAAAAATTTAAACATGGATGAGTTCTCATTAGAAGTTGTGTTTATTTGGAATCAAAATCTGTTTGGCTGCCAAAACCATCTTAATCTGATTGTAAAGAACCAAGCAATGCTGTTAAACTACTGTCAGCTCTGATGCTGAACAGATGGATGTAGCACTGATACTGTGATACTGGAGGGATGTCTATAAAACTCACTAGTGATAGGGGATACACCAATATTGCACTTCTCTATGTCTGAACTGAACAATGCCAAAATTATTGCAAATTATTATTTGTGTGACATGAGTCTTTTGTCTCATCAGCCTGGCTGATGCTGCTGAAAGGAAGCTGAAGGAAGAGAATTGCTTTCAGTGCTACTCTGACATTAATGTTTTATCTTATTTTAGGGTTTCTTTAAAGATCCTCCTGTCTGGGGAGGTTAGTGGGACAAGGAGGAGAGAGAGACAGACAGACACACACACACAGACACATCCTCCTTGCCCTCCCAGAGCCCTTCCAGCATCCCACTGAGCAGCCCTGCCTAACAGGCTGGGAGAATTTCAACGTTTGGTGGTTTGGGAACATCCACACTGTGAATGATTCAGGTGGTTCTGGAACTACAGAAAGAATAGAAAATGGTTGTAAAGATGATTGCTACAATTTTCAACACCTGAGTCCCAAAAGTTAGACTCCTGAAGACATTTTCATGCATTTAAAATAGGGTGCTTGTCAGATGAGCTCAGGTCTTCCAGGTTTCATTCATCTCAGTGGATGTTCTGGATGATCAATATCTTTGAGAGTGCAATACCTTATGTGTAGGTACTTAAATGAGGACTTAAAAAATTCATTTTTGGCAAATGACTTTGAAATTTTGAAACAATTTTTGAAACCACCTTAAAGGCTTAGAGGTCTAAAGCTTTAAAGTGCTTATGAAATTTTTATTTTGTCCAAAAATCCTTATCATGTGGCTCATAGAAGCATGTTAAAATTCTAGGCCTTACTCAGTATCTGTGTAAATTGTGCTACTTGTATTGATTTTGGGCTCATAAACATGAATAGATGCCTGAAATTAATGAGCCAAATTTGACACATTTAGCCAATGTCTAGAGTCTCTCATAATCAGAAAGCACAGTTAGAGGACTATAAGGAGTAATTTTGTTAGGAATATTTCATATTTGAGAAGGTGCACTTTACAACTTATTGAAATGCAAATAAATTTCAAAGAAAAGATAAAAATGGAAAATGGTTGAAGAGCAGAGTAAGTTTTATTTTCTTTTCTAAATCACCTCTGTGGATTACAATTGGCATTTATAACTTTGGAGGACTGAACTCTTTTTTGAGTGCATTTCAGTGCATGTTTATCAGGAAACGTGCAGAAAATACAGGTGAACGTTTCTGTCAGTTAAAGGAAAAAAATAGGTTTAATCCTTAAGAAAGGCAAAGGTCTAGCTTTGACTACTAGTAATTTATAAATCATACACAAAACTAGGCTATTAAGTGACAGAAATGTTCTCACACAGTCTTTGTACTGCAATTCACAATCCCTGTGAGAAACAGGAGTGGTACAGCTGTGGCAATCTACTGCAATCAAAGGAATGCAAAGAAAGAGAAATTTTGATAATTTCAAAAGTTTTCATTGGCCACTGACAGATACAAATTACAATTTTCCTTATTTTATACCATTGCTGAAGAAATGGAAACATAAATTAGAGGTAGCTATGCAATGAGACGAAGGATCTTCAGACTGAAACTCTCTTTGAATACAACAGAGAATGAAAATCTGAAATATGACTTCTGCATATCTGACTGAGCTCACTGTGCTTGGACTTAAACCAGAAAATTATAGTGCACTGCAGTCCACTGAGCCCCAAAGGTGCTTTTGTTCTCCAGAGACTGAACAGAAGCCAAGTACTACTTCTCTATTGAGGTTTCAGGATGTTGTCCTGCAGCCCTGTCTGTCTCTGAGCCTCGAGAGCTGGTTGTGTCTCTGGGAAAAGCAGACACATATCTAACGTGTACAAAGGACTTCAGCACTGGGATCTGAAACCACCACTGGTCTTTATGAGAAATACACAGGTGTGGGCAAAAATGCCAAAACTGCCATGCATACCTCTGTCTGCCTCAGCTTCTCCATCACTTTGAGACATTCTTAGAGAAGGATCAAGTCTTCTGAAACGTCTCCAATCCACATACAGTCCCACAATTCCCAGCTTGTTTTCTGAATGCCACATCCTTCTCAGCCCACTCAACATTCCTTCACCCAGCACTTACACCAACATTCCTCCTCCCTGCTCATAAACCATACCTGTCTTCTCTTTTCCTGCTCTGTGATTCCTGCAAGATTTCTCTTTGTACTTTCCATTAATGTTTTTAAACCCTTCATTTATTATGCCCCAACAGCCAAACCATTGATGGAGTTTCTATTAAGCAGTACATCCTGAGAGGCAGAAATAAACCACTCCAAGTACCTCCTTAGCATACACTCCACTGGTCAAAGTACCACCAAGTGCTCTGTCAAGCACTCTGTGCTCTGCGTACTGGAATAGATATTGCCAATTGCCCCATCAACAGGGACTTACCATGATAACTCCCTGTCATCAAGCATGATTAATAAACTTTACATTCTTACAGCTCCCAAATCATCACAGGGGGAAAGTTAAGACAAATATTTAGTGTGATGCTTTGGTTCCTAGGGAAATGAATGGGAATTTTGCATTAGCGTAAATAGAAATCTCAAGGTTGTTTTTCAGTGGCACAATGACTTATCTCCTGTGGTGACTTTCCAAAATGACACTGAACTGCTTTTGGCTTTGGAGACTCTCCAGGTAAATGACAAGGGTATTAGGACTTCTAGCCTATGGCACATTCCCTTTTCAGAATTTACATAAACTGCATATAGCAGAATCATAGAATGGTTTGGGTTGGAAGGAACCTTAAAGATCATCCCATTCCAGTCCCCTGCCATGGACAGGGACACCTTCCACTACCCCAGGTTGCTCAACAACTCATTGGGAGCAACAACTGCTCATTTCTCTCTTCATTTCACCCATGTAAGATATCCCTGAAAAATTACACAGTCACTTCGGAGATTCAGGAATTCTGAGATTCAGCTTCTAATTGCTATATATCAGGACTGTTAAGGCAAACACAATTTGAAATCACTGAAATCTTGTTTCTGTTTACCTTGTACCCTTGGTTAATGCCGTTGATGAACTGTTGGGGTGGAGGGTTCCAGAGGAACTGGATGGTTGTGGAGTTCACAGCTTCGACTTGCACGTTCTGCGGTGGAGCTGTGGGCACTGCTCGCAGTCAGCAGAGAGGGACAGAGAACAAAACACAGTGGATGAGGGGACAGAAGAGAAAAATGAACACAGAACCCACTGACTGTCACCTGTGAGACGCAAAGCAGCAACAACCTTGAGAGAAGGATGCACTTCTGGTGAGGCAGCAGTGACTTGGAAAGCAGTGTAATTGGGTTAATTTCTCATTCTGTAGTGGAGGTTCAGGGGAGGGGATGAAATGGTTTCTGCAGCTGATTATTGCACAGATGAGTTTCTCAGAAAGACCTGAGACAGAAGCTAGGTAATGATAGGTGAACACAGCTCTTTCAGCTATCCATGACTGCACAGAGAATGAACAGTCTCTGTAAGAAATTTCTTGAGTGTCTTAATACTCCTCAATTCCCCAGATCAGACAGGAAAACACAGAGTTTGCACAATTAAAGTTCTAATTGTGAATTATAATCTGGCAACAGCATCTGTTTATTATTTACTGCTGCTTAAAGAATTAAGACCAGTCATATCCCATGCAATAAAGATTTTTCTTGGGAATTGGGAGATGTTCTCACTTTATCTTGATATGATATGCATTCATGTATATTGAATTGATTATATGTATTCTGAGCCAATACGTCCTCTAATCTACTAAAAGTTGCATAAACATTTTATGCCAAGGATTTAATTAGACAGATGTTTTCTCAATACAAAGGAAAGCATGGAATATAAAGGCATGCTGCCTTCAAACAACCAAAAATAGCACCTAAATATTTTGCTGTTTAATGTAATGTCTCCTTCCAGCCAATTTCTACAACTTACTGCTTGAGGATGTCATTTCTATAGTTCTCAGAGGAAAGAATATTAATAGACAGGTCTATTTGCCTGGAATTATCAAGTTATTAAGAAGTTTAAGAAGGAAACTGCTATTTGAGTGCAAAAAATGGATTAAGACGCTTAAATCCTATAAAATAAGTTTAATAATGCTTCAAAAATATTACTATTGACAGCAATGTGCATTTGTATTCTATGAAAGAGGAACTATCCACAAGTGGTTTTGAAGCCTGGGAAGCTTTGTTCATTTTGCTTCCAAGGGAAAATTTCTACCAAAGCCCAATGATCTGTGCTTCTAAAGAGTATCCACAATTCCCACTGAGAAACGGTGGCTTGCTCCATACTTCTCAAAAACAGGGCAAAAACTTTTATAGCTTCGAACAACTTTTGGAAGATGAGTCTTTTTGTGGAGAAGAAATGAAGAAACTAAGTTCAAAAATGCAAAACTGGCCCTTCTGCCACCAAAAGCTGTTTGTTTGGAAAAGATAGAAAAGGACATTATTCTTAACTGGGGTAAGACTGGAGCCAATAGACCTAGGAGAGTGCACACTTACCAAAGCCATCCAGAATCTAGAAATATCAACACAGGAAAACAGAGAAATCCTCAAAGATATCAGGTTTGAAATTACAAGAACATCCACTTTGATGCCCTCTGTCACTAGAACTCCCTGAAGACTACACCATGGCTCGATGATTTAGCTCTGCACTTCTTTTTTAACCACAGTAACTGCATATTAGTCAGAACTTTCTTGCCCTAATTTAAAACCTGATGTCACAATTTATGAACTATGCATAATTATTGAGTTCTGAAACCAGAGTTTATCTGATACTACTCTAAATGTTCATTAGAATCCAGGCCCTACTTTCTGCCATGTATCATAATTCCCTGGGTGCTTTTGGAAGGTTATACTATTATCTGAATGACCTGTAGACATCATAAAGTTTTTGTAGTTAAGAGATTCACCAAATCATCCTGAGATAGAGTCATAAATATTAAAGTCACTCTACAGTCATAATGAGTTGCTTTGGCTACAGTCCCCTACTAAATGCATTTTTTCTTATTAATGTTCTTTGATGAAACTGTTTATTATGAGAGCCACAAGACAGATTTGAATTAGCTTTTGTGTGCAATACTTTGTATAATTAATGGTTAACATGCATAAAATGTTTGAAGAATCAAAATTCTTACTTTCCTGCATATTTGGTGTTCAGATATTATAACTACCAGAGATTTGTTATCGCAGAGAAAATCATATTACAAGTCTTCATGTGAGTTTGTTATCAGAAAGTCACCAGGATATCATGGATAGATTAATCTCCTCCTGTCAGGAAGGCTAAATCAGCTGAGCATCATCCTCTCCTCTCATTCCTCTTCCTTCTGTTGAACTGGTACATTACAAGTCTATTTATATAGAATCAGAGAATCATTTATGTTGGAAAGGACCTCAAAGATCATCGAGTCCAACTGTTCCCCTAGCACTGCCAAGCTGGGGGAATGTCCCCAAGTGCCACATCTACATGTCTTTTAAATCCCTCTAGGGATGGTGACTCCACCACTGTCCTGTGCAGCCTGTGCTTTGACAACCCTTTCAGTGAAGAATTTTTCCCAATTATCCAAACTAAACCTCCCCTGGCACAACTCGAAGACATTTCCTTTCGTCCTGTCTCCTGTCACTTGGGAGAAGAGACCAACCCCCACTTGGCTACAACCTCCTGTCAGTTCGTTGTAGAGAGTGATAATTTCCTCCAGTGGAGGATGCTGTGGATGCTGTACAATGATCAGCAAATTTCCAGTGATTTCAGTATCACAAGGATTTTATTCTAAGGGTCTGATGAGTCTTTTAGATACATCCAAAATACTGCAATTTTTAAGAGAGGAAAAACCTACATCAACACACTCCAAGTTTTCATTTGTGGTCCTTACAGTCCTCAAAAAAGCTCAGGCAAGCACTTGAGGATAGATTTAGTACAGTTTTGGAACTGTGGATAACCAAATGCATTAGTTATTTCTTCTCAAAAAGGGAAATATTTTTTTGTTCATTTGGAGCTGAAACGGGAATATACGATCAGAGCAGAAAAAGTACCTGCTACAAGATGAAAAATGATAAAAACTATGAACAGAAAACATAAAACCTTCAGAATACTGGAAATGCTGATTTATATCACAATTCCTCTTTGGACATCTTTATTGAAAAATCAACATCTGCATCTCAATGAATGCATTTAAAAGGATGGAAAGAACATGGTCCATCTGATATGCATAAGCTTAATTATACTGCAGAAGACATAATGTAATACATTTTTATCTTTTTTAATCAGTAAAATATTGGCATTATAATCTCAAATTTACTTCAAAGTGCCAGTACAAAATTCTCCTTTTATGTCCTGATATTAAAGACTTCCTTGGGTATCTGAACAGTTTTGCATTTAAAAAAGAAAAGAAGTTTGACAGAAGGTAGATCAGAACTGACCTTCTGATCATTTCCAAACTCAAATCCTTTTCCAAGATCATGGAGAGTAACTTACTGGAGCTGTGATTGTCTACATAAAGGAATTTCTAATTTAGTGGTAAATATCTATCTTCTTCCTACAAGTTTGTTGTCAAGCTGTACAGGAGCTGCCAATGTCAAATAGGTGTTTCAAGAGTAATCCCCAAGTCTTTACATTCCTGGTTTTCAATCCTGTACTTCATCTTGTTTGCAAGTATTCCAAAGCCATCTCACAGCAGAGACCCATCTGGGAATCATCTTGGAATTACAGACCAAACTGGTCAGACAAAACCAACCGTGACTTTCCTCCTGATAAAGTTCATGTGGTTGGAAATCTGCTGAGAGCTCAGCCCCCGGGACTGTGGGTTAATGTACAGCATTCCAAGCAGAAAAGGTCATGGAAGCACTCTAGATACAAACCATTAAAAGGGTTTCACTGACAAGATAATTGAGAGGAGAGAAGGCATTAAGGTTAAGCATGTGTACATGTAATTATTCTGTCTCTAGCTATGTGCAAATAGCATGTAAATCCTGCAGAGTTTCTGACAGCCAGAGTCCTGCTTCTAAATATAGATCTTCAGCAGAGGCTTGGAGAAAAGTCTCCTGCTCCTCTGGAGCTCCTGACCTTTGAGGTGGCAGCTTCCCTGTGTCAGTAAGACAGGCACAGGGAACTGCAGGTTTTCCTCTCTGTGAGGATTTGGATGTTCCTTTAATGCACCAGCTCGAGATGCTGAGCTGCATGTCCCAGTGGGAGCAGTGAGGATGTGGAGACTTGTAATTCCTCTGTGAAACCTATTCCCTCTGCTCCCTGTGGACATCCTGGGCTGTGCTCTGAACTGCAGTGGGTGCACAGGAAAAGTGCAATTCTACACATTTGACAATCTGAATTTTGAAATTCAGTAGTGTCACATGTGGCACTAACTGATGAGTTTTGCTGCTTGCGGTTGGGCAGTGCCTCCTTCCTTTTTTGCATACCTCTCACACGGACAAAATTTTTATGGCTTTATTAAGAGCTGAGGGCCAAGGGCCTCACTGAGACAACTGTTAATTTCACCACCTTGTGAAATCATTTTTAAACAAAATTTAAAGCACCCAAAAGACACCTAACAGTGATAAAATCTAGCCACTACAACTCCAACCTGCTTCTGCACAGGAGCAGCTGGGCCCAAAACTGCCAAGGATGCTCCAAGGCTGTTGGTAGGTTCCCCAAAGGAAGTGAAAGTGGATCTTTACGATGTTTTTTGCCAAGAAAGCTCAAGGGAAAACTAATGGAAATGTCTTTTCCCTGAGATAAAACTGAATAGTTGCAGAGGACACTCCACATTCAGTGATTCCTTTTTCAAGATTATTTCCTACATAAAGCAGGAAGCTTTCAGTTAACTGGTTTTCCTCTGGCTCTTCTACCTCAGTCATATAAATTTCTCTGATTCATCTCCTATTGCCTGAGGAAGAAACCACTTTGGACCTGGCTGAAGAGACTCATCTTGCTTTTATCCTTCTCTCCACACCATCAAGACTCACTAATCTGGTGACTCTCCCATTCTTTTATTCAGGAAGGGTTTTTTTCTCTGACTTTCATGGCTTAGCAAGGTGTCCATGCACAGCACAGGAGGGAAAATAAAACAACATTGAAGTACACATTGAGATCTGCAAACTTTAGGACATAAGACTGGGATATGCATCAAAAGAAAGACATAGCACTTGAAGCAGAAAGAGAAGTAGGTTAATGTCAATGCAAAGAGGCTAATGCAAGCAACGTCTCTACTTGTAAACCTTGCCCTGCCTAAACCTAAGGCACAGTGAGAGTTTTTCAAAGAGAGAGAAGTTCAGAAATATTCATGCTAGTGAGATAAAAGGGACAGACCCAAAGTAAAGGATGGAAGCTGCTGCTTTCGCAAATCAACCTGCAGGAAAAGGTAAACATGTCCAACAGAACAGCAGAGACAACATAGTCACCACAGAAAGGTGTTTACACCTCTTGCAAAGCTGTTCTTATATGAAAAGGTGTTGGGAAACTTGAGGTTTTCATATGGCAATGAAAAGTCCTGCAGGACACTGTTTAAATAAGTAAAATTGCCCTATGCAGAAGGCTAGCACAAATCCCTGTGAAAAGTAACATCAAAGTAAGGAACAGCTGGAGAAGTTCTGATGAAGAAAGACCTATATATACAGAGCATCAAAGGATTAGGCTGAATATCACTCTGAAAAGTCTTTCAAGATTTTAGAGACAGTCAACCTGTCTGACCCTAGTGCTAGGATGTTCAGTGCTTTGCCAGTAAGTCTCTCTGACATTTTATCTAACTGACATTATGCACCAGTTTCCTACAAGCTTAGATCTTTCAGCACCTTGTGTGTTTGGCTGCATTCTACAAGTTGGTGATTTTGTTCAAAGAGCTTTGAGTAGCTGATTAGTTTTCAGTGGCTAAAGCAATGCCAGAGGACTAATAAGGGATTAATAGACTAGCTCCTGGTATAAATCCACAGCTTATATGGCCAGTCAATATTCCCTATGACAAAGATGCCAATATGCTGATGTGCTCCTGCCAATGGGTTGATCTGCTCCCAGCGTTCATTTCCTCCCAGGGTTTGACTGCATAGCACGTTTGATTAGTATGAGGTGGTGCAGGTATTTTTCATCTGCAGACAGACAGGTTCTTGCCAGCACAGCTCACATCATTTAATGCATGTCAGAAGAGAGCAGCAGCAGTGGTGGTGGTGGGAGAGGGGGATGGATGGGAGTGTGTGTCTTTGACATTTATCTCTGCTCATATTAAAATCAGAATATGATTTACAAGGCAGTTTTACACATGGCTTTTTCTTAGTCCTGCTAGTTTGGTTTAGGAAGGACATTCTGGAGCAAGAAACACTCACTGGATTTTCCTGTCTTTTCCCAACCACAATAAACATAAAGGAGCAGAGTTTTGGACAGCAGCACATTACTTATGGAGACTTGATATCGATACAAACCAGTCTCCCTTTCCAGCTCTAAATGTGAAAAAGGCTTCAAACTTCTTAGAACAGGCCAAATGCCTTTGGTGATTTGCACAGAACTCCAGAAAGGCAATCATTAGGAGATGGCATAGTTATTTACAGCTGTTAGCAAATACTGATATAAAATATATCAGAATCAGTCTGTTTTTCTTCTGTGTCTACCCAGCATTGAGCACTCAGGAGCTACCTAAAGGCAAACAGGCCATTACAGGTTGGCCTGCAGTCTGAACACTCTTGTTGATTAATATGAATGCAGGACTGACTACACCTAATTTAAAACAGAGGATTTATATCCTTATAAATGGCAACAGACATCCAATCAATAAAGGATGATAATAACAGCACACAATATCAAGGGAAATTAGAGTCAATTACAGGGTTTAAGAGAAAAGAGTGTGAAGTCCAAACCTGAACCTTAATAGATGGAAGGTTAAGGTGCTATGATAGCTTCAAATGTGCAAATAAACAAAGTAATGAATTACAAGTATATTCACAAAAGTGATTCAAATTCTGTGTGCAAACCAATTCTCTGCAGAGATTGGGTCTTTGGTGGGATAGAAAACATTAATCCTGGCTGCAAGGAGAAGACTTTTAGAAAAACATTTCAAGGTCTGCTATAAATACTTCTAGAATGAGGCTGAGTGTGTCTAGGCTCCTCTAAACTATGAGACTTTACATGCCCTAAAACAAAATATAGATAGCTTCTTTCTTTAATTGTTTTGGTTAATTAGTGTTGCATATGAATAATCTTTTCTCAAAGATCTCCCTACACCTCAAACTGTGTCTAATCATGTTACAAAGTACTCGTAGTAACAATTAACAAACAACTACATATTCTTCCCTGATTGAAAATTAACTGATGTACTGTAAATCTGCACGTTTACAAAACAGTGTAATTGTTTTATAACCAATAAAGTAGAGCCCATGTACTGTCCAGTGCTCAGCATCCAGCACTACCCTGCAATTATGGGAATATATGAAAGCTTTAAGGGCCTGGTACTTAATTATCCTCCAGATTTTTATACCAATCCAGAGGTGTAAACATGCCTTACACTGGTTGTAAAAAGTAATTACATATCCTTTTGTTGATGTAATTTATACTCTTCTTAAAGCACTTAGAAAGGTGTGGAGGAGCTGTAGCATAAAAATCAGGGCTTTAAAGATCATTTTATCTTCCTCTTTGCAAATGCCTGCACCAGTCCTGAAATGCTTCAGAACACTTTCTCCACACGCTGTATTTCTCTCCTGCACTTTCCTTACAATTTATTCCATATTTCTAAAACAAGGTATTCTGTGATTATCAGACTTACTGCAGCTGGTTTACTCTGCCTTTGTCTCCTGTATTGCATATGCAGCATATTGCATACCTTGACCATGCTAAAACCAATTCCCTGCCATATTTTCTCTAACTCTCCTGGCAGAGTAACCTCAGTCTCTGTCTGTCATAGGCCCTATAAATCCATTCCCCTGGACCTCAGCCCTCGTCAGCATTTCTATTTATTACTTATGCTGCAGCTGACTCTGACCTGCAAGTGTGGCAACATGTCATCACCAGGGTCAACAAAAATAGATAATTTTTGAATTCACTCACAGCTTTTTCTACAACGCAGATAATGACAGACTTGTTCCTGCTCAGGCATTTGAAATTTGCAGGTGTTTCCCATCCTGAGCTGTCCATCAAATTTGACTGAAATGACCATTCCTTTTACAAGTTGGGGGGAGGGGGGGAGAGCACATCTCCAAAGGAAACTGTGCCATAAACTGGAACTGGAAAGGCAATATTGGTCTGATTTGCTCACCTCCTTGCAAGGTGTACTCTGTCACAGGTCTGCTGAATGCTCCCAGCCCAGCTCCATTGTAAGATGCCACCTGGATTTCATACTGAGTCCAAATGATCAGGTCTTTCACTAAGCAGTAGTTAATTTCTGCACTGGTGATGTTCTTATACTGGTATTCTCCAGGGAGACCAGCCAGGCGATACCTACCATATGGGAAGAAAAATTAGCTAGTTAATTAGATGGTATCAATTATAGCAAATATCCTGACTGGCAAAATAGCTTCCTTTGTGACGAGGCAATATGCAAAGTTTTACAGCTGAATTATACAAAGAATAATGAAAAATAATCAGAAAGAACAGAGTAACTCCTGATAAGACCATATCATGTTTGACTGCTATAGTATTTATAATCTGATCTCACTGAGATTAAAGGCTCAGGGCTAAACAAAACAGGCATTTTATCCTGTTTTATGGTTGCAGAAAAATTACAGCTTTTTAAATGTGGCTTGTCTAGTAAAAGCTGTGATTTACTACAAAAAATAGCCCAGATGTGATTTTTATCAGAGTGCTGCTGTAAATCAGCTTGAGGAATGGGTTTTTTCCTTCTCCTCTGAAATCTGAAAAGGAAGAGCTCAGAGGGCTCTGACCTTCTGGAGTCTCAGGCATTGGCATCTCTGGCTTTGACCAGCATTTACTTCAGAGAATGAGTGAAATAAGGATGGAATTCAGTTGAGACTGAAGGGCTGGGTAGGCACTGGAATTCCAGGAGAAGGGCTGTGCCAAATACAGATGGGTGGTAAACATCCTGACAAACTTTCTGCTGTGACATAAGAAGCTGAAACATTGAATATATTTTCCCATGTAAAAAATGTATTCCAGAAAACAGAGCCACTTTGATGTGTCTCTTCAGGCCAAGAAACTATACAGAAGAACTAAATTATAGAAAACAAACAAACCTTGCAAATCTGTGAATGTGAATAATAGTGTTTGTTTTCCTTCCTTTAGGAAAGTGGTACAGTAGGTGATTACAATGTGCTAATTCACAAAAAAAAAAAATCAGGAAAGGAGAGGGCAAATAAGGGACATAGATAAATCAGAAAAGGAGAGGGCAAATAAGGGACATAGAGCATTACTATTCCATGAAAAAGACAAATATGGAAACATTTGTATCTTTACTCACCACACAATTTTTATGCACTCTTATTCATCTTTTGCTTTATAATAATCACCAAAAGCTTATTGACACAGAACAATTTCACTGACATGCTACAGTCAGATTTTAAATTCATCTAAGTTAAACTGGTGCAATATTTATGACTAGACAACTTCATGTATTTTAGCCATAGATTTTCATTCTGAAGTCACCCTATAAAAGAAATCAGTTCTTAATCACTGAGAACACCTCTATTTTCTGCTGAGGAGCTGCTTGCCTGACCATATTTTAGCACACTTAATATTTGTAATGCTACACTGGTGTGATTCCATTTATGAAATACAAGTGGAAATAAAGAAATATCAGCCCTCAGTTGAGTTTATTGAATGACTCGATCTTTCTCTTTGCTATGAATATCTCCCTTTCTTTTGCCTCCTGTGCATGGTGTATGCTCCCTGGCAACGTCAATTCTTCGTGCGGCAATGTTTCGTCTCGTACCAAGCAGACAAGGTGTGGAGTGCTCCTGTGATTTAATCTGTTATGCTGTTAGCATGGCAGGCCTCTAAATGCAATACTGGCAGTGAGAAAAAGGGCAGAGGAAGGAGGCCAGTTCAGAAATGTCATGTCTTCATGATTTTTCTCACCATGGACTTTGATGTATACTCCATATGACTTGTGCAGTGCACCTTCACTTTTAAAGATCAGGTGTTCCATCAATTTAGTATCTCACATGTCCTGAGCTTTGGGTCTCTGGGATGCATGGTGCTTTTCATTCTGCTGTACCCTAATTCTACTGGAATCAATGCAGGAAGACTATTCTTCAGTGCATATTGCTGTGACCGAACAATTTGACTTGGAAGAATAGCCTGGTTTATTACCTGGGACAGTTGTGCTTTTATGTGATAATCTTAAATTCCTGTTGAATAAATGGTTTCTCTGCTCTGTAGTCAAGACAAAGCATGTAGACACCAAAAATGTCCACAGATTGAGCATAATGAATATGATCACTATTAAAATGAAAGAGATGTTACAGTGAGGACAGGGATCAATTATGCTGATAGATGCTGTAGTAAATACTGAAGTTACACATTATTGGGAATGCTATATGGAGAAAATGGCACAGATTGCCAGAATTAGGAGGCTATGGGATTGCTTTCCCAAAGGATGTAATGCTTGGGCTGCATAAGACTCATTGGGAATACCTAAGGAACTAATCCTAAAATGGAGGAGACCAGTTTGAGGGGAAAAATCTGCACAAGCAACACTTGTACCCTGTGCAAATGGGTACCCAAGTCTCATGACAAGGTTCTATCTATAGGCAGAAGTTAAAGCACCTTTCCCTATGGCTGACACAGCCTTCAAACTGAGTCCAGCTCTTAAAACTTGCACAAACAGGCACTTGCACCAGTGTCTCAGCACTGTTATTGGGCTCTGTGCAGGTGACAGGGAGATTAACAGACTTCAGCTCTGCCTGCAGAGAGAAGGAACTTTCCAGCACTATTTTGGGAGCTCACCAACATGCTTAACATCACAAAAGCCTTTCCCATCCATGCCAGGGAAAGTAGGAGCACAGCATGAACAGGATGTTGGCATTTAAACGTTAGCATTTAGTTACCTTTTACAGGTCTGGAGGACACTGCATTAAAAATGTCAGCAGCCTGCCCACAGGAGGCTGGAACCATCACTTGGAAATATGTCAGTGGCTGGGAGTTTCCCACAAAAACTCTAATTTAGATAATGCCTCCCTTACCAGAGGTGCGGCCCTAGCTGGCTGCTAGCTCTGCAGGATATGTAGGATGCCAAATGAGCAGTAAACTGTAGCTGAATTGGGTAGGAATGAATACTGAGTCCCAAAAATTTACAGTAGGGAAATGCTCTGCAAAGTCTCTCAGTGTGGCAACACCCTTTCCAACACAATGAATCCTGTGCAAGCAGAAAGACTGGATGTATTCAGGATTCCCAGTTACCTGCCTGAAGGTTTCTCATTAATAAACAGCAATGGGACTGAGAGAATCTTACTCAACTGGCTGATTTTCAAAACCATATCAAGGTCTGCCATGAAGCATCTGACCTGTCATTCCCTCTCTCCATTTTGTTTGGCACAAAAATGAAGTTTATTGATTCTTTTGTTGCTCTTCCATAGGGCAGGAGCCCTGTTGTGTCTTTGATAAATTTAATTAACCTTTCAAGCAGGAAGCTGAGATTGTAATAAGCAAATATACATCTGCATAGGCTGCAGTGTACCAGCTTCCCACATGAATACTTTTAGTACTTGGTGCATCACTTCACTTGGAAAATGGAAAAAAGCTGTCTGGGTGTTGTGACTCTCCACAGGGAACTGGTCCACTCAAGCAGTCCATTTGGAGCAGCTAACAGAGCTCCCAGCTCTCTGAGACTCTAGTATAGACAGGGCAGAATTTAAGTGCCTGCACCCTCACTGACCCCTTGAACAGAAGTGTTTTCTCATATTTACCAATCCAGGGCAGCCCCAGCATTCACAAATAACAACTCATATATTTAATGGAATTAGAGACAGTTTTTATTATGCTTTTAAGTCACACCATTGGAATGCCCTTATGCACACTGTGCTGGTTTGGGCTGAAGTGGAGTTAACTTTCTTCACAGTGGCTAGGATGGGGCTATGTTTAGGATTTGTGCAGGGCACAGTGTAAATAATGCAGAGATGTTTTTGTTATTGCTGAGCAGAGCTCACACAGAGCCAAGGTCTTTACTGCAAGGAAGATGGGGATGCTTGGGAGGTTCGGAGGAGACACAGCTGGGAGAGGTGACCCAAAGTGACCAAAGGAATATTCCATATCATATGACATCATGCTCAGTATTATAAGATGGGAGGAAGAGGGAGGAAGGGGGAGACATGTGGAGTGATGGTGTTTGTCTTCCCAAGGAATCATTAAGCATGATGAGGTCCTGCTCTCCTGGAGATGGCTGAACACCTCCTGCCCATGGGAAGCAGTGAATTGGTTTCTTGCTTTGCTTTTCTTGTGTGTGTGGCTTTTGCTTTCCCTATTCAACTGCCTTTATCTCAACCCATAAGATTTTTCTGGTTTTTATCCTTTTGATTCTCTCCCACATCCCTCTGGTGGGGGGTGAGCTGCAAGGTGTTTGCTGGCTGGCTGGGGTTAAACCATGCCAGCACACACAGATCTATCTCTGGAATTTCCAGGCTGGGAAAGTACTTACCTTAGGATGTATCCATGAAGAACTCCATTATGCTCACTCTCAGGAGGAGGTTGCCACTGGACCATGATAGACTGGTTGGTACGTCCACTGGCCACTATGTTTTTAGGTGGGGCACTGGGAGGCTCCTCAGGTAGCATCAACCTAAGTACAAAAGAATGTGATGGACAAGGGTGTTGAAATAAATCATAAATAACATTTCTATTTCCTGTATCCACTCCAAGTGAAGCAGTTTCTTTTATCACAGTCAGATGACTAGGAAGAAATATAATGCTGATCAAACTGCTGAAGACATGCATGAAATAGTTACAACAAATCAACATAATAGGAAATCAGTTAAGCAAGCAACAAGACAGACAGCTGAGGTAACCCCATTCTCTCTGAATCACCCAGGCTGCTACAACTCTTAAAAAAGATTACAAGCCTGAATGAGTAAGAGCTCGGGTCCAGTGTCTGTGACTCTTTCCAAATTGTTTCTTTCAGCTCTTTCAATATTTTTCATATCAAACTCCTACATTTTGAAAAAGCCATTTAGAGTTCAGCTGTTCTGCAATTCAAGCTCGCAGCAAGCTTAGGTTCACAGAAGAAGGGGGATGCATGGAAAGCAAACATGATGAAGCCATCCTTCTCTGTCGCATCGAGGTGAATTCCAGAAGTGACACTGCAGTGACAGGGTGAATGCTGTACTCCTGCCCGGGCTAACTGCTGGGGCATAGCACAAGAGCAAAGAGTTATTTCCAAGATTCTGCTCAACTGATACTCTGGAAGTATGAAGACACCTCTCATTGTGTGATAATCTCCTGCATCACCTAATAGCCATCATCACCAATTACTGCCAGCTGCAGAGCACTCTCCAGAGGCCTGGGTAATGCTAACTGCTCCACTCCCCAATTAGTGTGCAAAAGATAACTTTATTTCATTCATTCATTCACAATCAGCAATTTTTCCTCCCAATAATTCTAGGTTACTGTACCTTTAGTACACAGATATTGACTGTTACTGTACCTGCTGGTCTCAGTGCTGTACTGGCCCTTTCCCACCTGGTTGACTGCACACACCCTGAACTGGTAGGTCCGGGCTGGAGTGAGTCCACTCACAGTGACACCAGTCATCTTTGGGTCCAGGTTTGAGAGGTGAACCTTCCAGGGAGAATCTGTTGGAATAATTTGCATGTGAAAAAGGAGAAAAAAAAGATGGACATGCTTGTCAAAAGTACTGCAGAAGTGAGAAAATGCCTCTGACTGCTCAGAGCTCTTTGTGCTTGTTTTCCTCAGAGGAACTTTGGGAAGAAGTTTCTTTTCAGCAGAAGAAACCTTCCTGTCAGCCCACACGGTTATGCAGATTGCACATTTGTCTACTGGAAAGTGATGCTGCACATGTCATGGCATAATAAATAAAAACTATATTCATTAACATTTTAATAAAAGAGGAAACAAGCATGATAAAGACAGATGGGCTGTGTATTTCACAACCCATCTGTTTGGCAGGCCATCACACCACCACACCCATGAGTGGCTCTGGTGGAAGGACTCTAATGAAATTCACAGTCGGTTTGGAATATCTTCCTACCCAGCTTGCAAGCAGGTGTAGAAGCATGACTCTCTCTGCCAAATCAGCCCTTTGCTGTAAGACCTGAGAAAGCTTCTGCCGTGGATTCTACGTCTGCAATGTTTTTTTTTCCTAGACATAGTATTCAGCATTGGGTCTAATCATTCCCTAGGAAGATTCCCTGGTAGAAACAGCCCTGGCAGCACTGTAAACCCCTCGTTGTCAGTTCACATACTTGCCATACTGAGCTACTCTGATGCCCAAATTACATTTTCAAGTTTTCAAAGAGGTCAGAAATGAAACATGTTGAAAATTAAATATTCTGACTTCTTTTCTCCATAGCCTGGTGTCACATATTCTCCCCAAAGTCATGACTGAAATAGTCAGGGAGAGGTGACATTTGGTCTGCGTTGCAACAGTACAGCAATAGAATCAGCCAATTTAAAGATTTGTTCAGTTTTTAAATAATACCAGCTGTTTTCATGCTCCCTGCTCAAAATTACTAACACTTCTGGAAATTGCTGAGGAGCTAGCTGTGGATTTTGGCACTGCTAGCTGTGCATGTTGCTCATCAGAAGTGCATCATGGCTGCTGCCAGGTCACCTCGACGGCTGCCTGAAAATGAAGATGAGATGTCCCAAACGTGGAAGGCTGCTAAACTTCACACCAAGACAGAAACCACTAATTTAGTGCTTTTCTGGCAGATTCCTTAGCAAGTTTAAGTCCTCCAGAGTGTGATGCCAGTTGGGCTATAAACACTGCATCTTCGGATCACTCCAAATGTATTTATTCTAGTAATGGCTTTGCCAGAACAAAGTCTTTTTTAACAGGAAAACTGACACAGCAGAATACTGGGAATGCTGGAGAGGGACATTTGCACAGCAGTCAAGTTCTGTCCTTGCCAGTTGTTCATTTACCAACAGCCACTTTGGCTGCAAGATCTTGACGCCAATTTATCTTAGCTGAACATTGAATTTCTTTTAGAAAGTCCTTAGAGGAAGCACACCTGTGCTATCTAGAAAAGCATTGGTTAGGAGTTTTTTGTACCCTGGTTCCTTATGAATTTTCTCAAGCTTCTCTTGAGACTTCAGAAACAACCTTGTTGCAGCCAGAGTGCCCAATAACAAATCAAGGTAAGCCAAAGTTAAGGTATGGCTGGCTTAGTACATTGCCTGAAGCAGCTTCCTGAGGAAAATGGAAGAGCAGACACCAACAAGAGAGTGAAGCACCCTTGTATGAGCTACTTGGGTAGTGGTCCATTTCCTAGAGCCTTTCATTTGTTTACTGCTAGTGTAAACACCACCTGAGAGTGCTTAACCCAAGCAGCTCAATGTAGTGAGCAGTTTGATTCAACAACAGGCCCTATTAATCTCCTCAGCACCTTGGGGCTTTGCTCTGTTTATATGCTGCATCTGTAGAATACTTTATTAATTCTTTTTCCTCTCCTGGTGGAAGATAAAAGATCTGGCAGGAAGAGAGATTAAACTGAAAACTAATATAAACGAAGCCTATTCATCTCCTGGGCACTGCGATTGGGGAAGGAGAGTGGTTTGGGGAGCAGTTGCTCGTTCACGGAGCAGTGGATACAGTGAGTGTGCAGAGTATCTTTAAAATTTAAATGTCAAGCCTTTTTTTTTTTTTTTTTTTACCATCAATAAACAAAACATTTCACAAAAACTATTCTCCCTCTTTAAACACACAACAGACCCCAGCATTGTGCTGAAGCTGAGTTTACTGTAGAGCAAAGCCATTCTGACATCAGAAGCTTGGCAGAAAATTTTCAACGCTGACTCTCCTCTCCTCCAGGGATGCTGTCACTCACCTGTCCCAGGAAGCCTGGAGAAGCTCCACGGTGACAAAAGACTTGCCAGGTCAAACTATTAAATAAGCCTCTGTTAGATTGAACAGACTGTGCTAATCCTTCATTTAACTTAAGCTGCCCAGAACGCACTCTGGGCTCTGCTCGCTCTTCCCCCGTAATTGCTACTGTCTGAACAACTTCCATGTTTAGCTGTCTATCGCCTTATGGATATTGGATATTTTGAATTAACTCTGATTGCCTCTCCGAGTTAATTTATTGGAAATGAAGAATCTCACAGGCTGCTCTCTAGTTTACAATGGCATTTTGGGGTTTTAGAAATTACTTTTTGTTCTGACAAGAATTTTTGGATGCACTTGTGATACACTCAGTAATGCTGGTTACTCGCCAAGAGGCATTTCTTCTCTATTTCCCTATCTACCTTACAGTTCATGCATTAACTGCAAATTCCTCAAGAATCACTTCTAATTTGATATTACAGATTAGATCTATTGCAGAAAGCTGATTTTTTCCAGTTTGGAGCACATTTCCATCTCCTTCCTTCTCCAGGGGGTTTTGCATAGATGGTAGTATTGTACTGCTGGAGTGTATTCTATCTTCATAACAATGTAATCCTTCAGAACAATATAATGTTGCAAAAAGTCCAAATAGAAATTAAATGGTTCATCTTTGGTATGACTTCAACAAGGTCTACCAATGGCCTGGGAAAAGCATCTTTTAACACTACCATATCTAGATCTGAGTCAAAATCACAATGAAAAATGGAGTTTTACTTTGATTTTTGCAAGGGTTTATCAATGTTTTCAATTTTTACCATTTGAATATTATTCCAACCAAATTCAGGATGACAAATCATGAGCTTAAAGTGAAGCATGCATAGATTCTTTTCATAGGAGCTTTTATTATCTCCTCCTTGGCACAACGTGATGAATCTGAGTTATATCATTACATCACACGGCACAGATATCCCAGAATACAATAAAACAAAAATGGGCTTTTATCTTAATTGTACTCAGCAGAATTCTTTAAGTCTTAATTCATTTCTTCAGTTAAAAGACTATTCAGAATCATTTTTGATTAATTCCTGAAGCCTAAACCTCCTTGGAATAAAACAAGCATATCCCCTTCTAACTCCAGGCAGATATTTCATTGGAATTCCTAGGTATATCGCAACAGGGGCTAAACAGGTCATGAAACATCCAAAATTATATTAGTGCAAATGACAGCAGTGCACGGTACTATTTATTTGAAAATCCTATTTCAAATCAAGGTTCACATTCTTGGCTCTGTGTGGGCAGGAATACTTAATGACTGTGTTTCTCTGGAACTGTGTTTTTCAAATTAGATTATAAATTTGCCCCCAAATGTTTAAGGCCATATGTCTCAAGTCACCCACAGACACAGTCAACTGTGAATACTTGTAATTTGAGAATTATTGCATTGTGCCCAATACATTAATTTTAAAAATTAGGTGACTAGAGTCCTTCATATTTCCAACAATTTATGTGCAAGATCTGCCACTGTTTTTCCCTCTAATTAAAATAAGGTTGTTATATCTCTTTACTGAATTGATATTAATGAAAAGTAGTTCTAATCCTTGCCAGGTGGAGTGACACGCCTCTCTCTACTGCAGCTAGTAATTAAACCCCTGAAATTGATACTGATTATTTTGAACCCCCTTCAGTTATTTCTCTGCCACAGACACTGTTATTGTGTATTCATTGATGGTATGTGCTTCAAAATCTACAATGGATCCTAGAGCTACTAGAAAATTATCCAAAGCAAAAAACAGCTAAAAAAGGGAACAAAACTAGGCTACAATTTGGCACCTCTGACTGCACAGCAAAACCTGCATGTTCAAACTCCACAGAACTAAGAACAAAGTCTTCTGTGCAGCTTTGCTAACTGGAAAAGAAATCATAATTCTGATGTCCCTCCCTAACCTTTACATGTGTGAAAGCAAACGAGGATTGGGATGTGAAGCATATTGCACTGCAGTGACAGTGACAGAGCTCCTGACACCAGCAGAGGAGCTCGTGGAGAGTGTTCACTGCCTGACAGTTGCTCTTTCTGCTGCACAAAACCTGAAAGGAAATTGCCTTTGAAAAGCAAAGAGAGCTTCTGCTCAGCCATATCAGGCCAAACTATACCTACACAAGATCAAATTTCAGCTTCGTTCACAAACAGCACTTGGGATGGTTGGGAACAAAGGAAAGGAGGTGGTTTCCAAAGGAGTAGGAGAAGCTAAATATTAACCACAGACTACTGAGATCAAAATAACTCTGAAAAACAAGCACTTCAGGAAAATAAAACCCCAAACAAGACAGTGACAATACTCAGACATTAAAGTCAGCTTTCCAAACCAAAGCCACTGTTGATGTACTATTCTGTTGGCATCCATAAAACTGGGAAGAATATATGAAATGGGAGCACACAGCAACAATGGAACATACAGTGGCTTAAATTCCTGTCTCTGTCCTACTTCTCTGAGTAACCATTTAGCCATTGCACATAAAAGCAAAGTAAATAAAGATGAAAACTGAAAGGACAGCAAGATCTAGAATATATCTGGGAGTTAAGATGCTCAATTCACAGCAAACTCAGTCTGTGTTTGCCTTTTGCAGCTGCAAGCTGCTGAAGTACATACACCTATGATTTGGGATAATGAGACCTTCTCAGTGGTAGATTGCAATGCCATCAGCCAAAATTATTGGATCTGCCATGGAGAGAGCAATGGTTCACAGGATCCTGTGGAGTTCTGAGGGACTGGCTGCATGATTTCCAAAGAACTACTGTTGATTTTTGCTGAGCCTTCTACAAGTTTTAGTGAAAGAATTACAGCATTTTCAAAATGATGGCATGGCTAGCCCATTCCTGTACTGGAAAAACTGTAAAGCATCCTTGCTAGAAAGGGACTTCAAGACTTTTCAAACTTCTCTATGACACAAGAAGGATATTGGGAGATGATCTTTAAGGTCCCTTCCAAACCAAACCATTCCATGATTCTCCTGGCACTGAGTGGGCTGCCTCTTCTTTTAATGACTCCTCCCAGGCAATGCAGCCCACTGCAGGACCCAAGTGCATAGACTGTCCCAGCTCTGTGCTGTCTCTGTGTAAATACAGCTCTAGGGCCTTTGAACCATGCTCCCAGACTGGGACTTCACTAGCTTGTCATTGTCAAAGCCACTGGGAAACAAGAAACACAAGGTAATGTCCTTGGGTGAAAGCTCAGGGAAGTAAAAGCAAAAATGCAATTACTGACCTGCAGTTGATAGGAGAGAAGAGTGAAAATAAAAAGAAAGGTGGTGACAAAAAGGTAGAGGGGGAGTGTGAGTGCAGAACACTGGATTTTCTTAGTCATTTGTTACAAAAAGATCAGGAGTCTTTGCTTGAAAAGAACTATTTTAAGGACAGCAGTCCTGGGCATGACTTTGGATTTCTGCTAGGATTAGAAACCTGCACTTTGCTTAACAGTTGTCAAGATCATCGGTTCTGGGACCTCCACATTTGAAAAGTTCTGCATTTCAGCCTGCAAAGTAAAAGGGTTGTATGTGATCTGAAGCTCAAGTTTCCCCTCAAGCTCTCTGTGTGGCAAAACAAACCACTGCTCTCTAGATAATCAGAAATCAGGACTGTTTCACATTCAGTTATGCAGTGACTAATTTCCACATGTCAGAAAAAGTGATGCTCTTAATTTTTTCATCAAGAATCAATTGTTCAGCTTGGATTTCCAGCTCCTAGGGTGATAGAGATTAGAAAGTATTGCCAAGGTGACCGATTTCCATATAACCTCATCTTTCCATCAGCTCCTAAAGAGGCATTAGCAACGTCCCTGAATAACCTTGCAAAGTGAGAGCCACAGAGGACCAGGCATACAGCATGATAAAACTGTGAAGTGGCAATTCACAATGCCCAGGTTTGTAACCCATGAAGCCAGATATTTGGATAACTTACACTCAAGCATCCTCAACCACCTACTTAAAAGAAGAGTGTAAAATGATCATCTAGGGAAAGTGGAGAAAATATTTGAGCCCATATACAGGTAAGACAGTAGCTCCTATTGACATCCGAGTTTGTGCCTTTGATAGACCATCAGTTCCTTACATTATCACTCTGCATCTTTTAGGTGAAACTGGGGCTCTGAATGCATCGAGCTATCTATGAAACTGGAGTAAAGGACAACAATGGGAAGAAACAAACTGAATACTGCTGTTTCACAGCACTGAGGAACGAGCTGTTGTGCCTCAAGTCTGGCTGGCAATACTAGAGGCAAAAATAAGTCTTTCCCGTATAATTCCACCATCTCAGGCCTCTTTGTTGTTTCATTCCTTCAGCGTGTGAACAGTGGAGTGTAAAACCCAGAACTTCCCCTTTGTGCATGCTGTGTCTCATTTAGCAAACAACAGCAGTATGTTGTTAGCAGCTCTGGTAGAAGGTGAGCCTGAAAGCAGGCTGAATAATTAGGAACACCATGAGGTTGAAATAAATTTGACTTTACTTACTGTTCTCAGAGAGCTCGACCACATAGTAGAGCACAGGGCTGTTGCCATCAAAGGGACGCACCCAGGAGAGCATCACGCTGCGGCTGTAGGAGGAATTCAGAGTGGCCAGAAGGTTCTGAGGGGAATGAGGCAGCTCACTGTTAAGGAAAAGAGAAAGGGAGAAAAAAAAAAACCAGCACAGAAAAATTAATTTCATTCAGCTACAGTCTTACAGGCAGTTAAAGGCAAACGACATCAGCCTCGTATGATGATAGATATAAACCCACCGGCAGCTATTGTACAATTAAATAAATGAAAGACATCTCTGAGTTCTTCACAATTTGATCCTGTTTGGGAAGAAAAATAATTTATGCTGAAAGTCCCAAGGCTGATGTTTAGAACAGCTAATGGAAATGTTGCTAAATGTGGAAAAAAGCCAATTTTCACACTGTTTTTGACTGAGCAAGTTGGTCAATAAATTTCCTCTTTCACTTTTTCTCCCTTCTCACAATGATGTCCTAGCAATGTGACAGCAGTAATATGTATAAACAGTGAAACACATGGGAGATATGATTTAATGTGGAATTTTTCATACTCAAGGAAGCAGAAGACATTGACACTATCCATATAGACCTACTAATCAAAATTACCATATGTATTCTTAGGCTACAGAACAGCTTGATTTACTCACGGATTCAGGCTTATCCTGTCATGGGTAGAATCCTTCCTTCCTATAATAAGGATTTTTTTGGAAGCACCCAACCAGAAAATGTACTGAAAATGCCTGCAGAAACCCCGTGGAAATACAAAATGAAACATTAAAAAAACCCCCAAAATAAAACAGCAGCTCAATTAAAATGTGTAATTTCTCCACATAAAGGAAATTTGTGGAAAAACATTTCATTTGTGCTCACTGGCTGAAAATGGGAGGCTGCACAATGCAGTGAGAACACTAAAGTCTGCTGCAACCCTTAAATGCTGATGTGTGTTAAGAGATAAAACTCCTTCAGCATTATACTTGAGCATGATTCCTGCTCCTTATCATCCTGGTTCCTAAGGAGGACAAGGATCTCTGAGAGAAGAAAAAGCAAGGAGGACCAGTTTTTACCCATTCAATCTACCCTCCTCTGCAGGAAAGCAGAGGGTGACCCTTCCTCAGCTCTGGCCAGGGCACAAAGCCAGGAGGGTACTTCACAGGCTTAATTTAAACAGGTAGTAACCCTGGTTGCAATGTATCATGCTGCTGAAGGCTCACAGTTATTTAAAAACCACAACTCCTCAGCCACTCACAAAAGTAAATACAGGCTCTGGCTTTAAGCCAGAGCAATAAATATGTCCTGGATTTGGGTTTCTACTGGAAGACTGAGGAACATACGGAGAGCCAGATAATAGTTTTATTGTTTTTCTGTTAAAACTGAGAATTCCTTTGTTTACGTGATTTGATGGATACGAACTGGGGAGTTAGCACCAAAAGAAAGGGGCTGATAGAAGAACCAAAGAGTGGTAAGAAAAACACACAGCTAATGAGGCAACACAAGTGGATGGCACTTCCCTGCCCACCCCTCCCATGGCTAGAGGGGTTGGTGCTTCCTAAGGCGAAACCTGAGGCTCAAAGTCTTGTCTCATCTCCTCTGACTTTAAATGTATAACCAAATTAGCAGCACGGTGACCCCAGGCTCCTTCTCTAATAAACATGGAATGACACCTCAGGGTGTGATTGAGATCTTAACATCATTAAATCACTTGCTCAAGATGCCTTAATCCTGAGGAGTTTAGGCTGATTTTGCTCTCGCATCTGGCCATGAACTGACAGCTCAGACACGGTCACTTCTGGGCTGGAAGAAACATCAGGCACTGGAAGGACTACGTATGGGCACAATGGAAGCAGATTTTGAACACAGCATTGTAGAAGTTTGGATAAACTCTTTAGGGAAGAGAAGGACTAGAAGACAAAGGAGAAGAGCAGCTGGTCTGTGAGAGAAGAATCATAGAATCATATCATTTTAGGGGTTGGAATGGACCTTATAGTCCCAACCCCCTGCCCTGGGCAGGGACACCTCCAACCAGAGCAGGTTGCTCAAGGCTTTATCCCACCTGGCTTTGAACACTGCCAGGGTTGGGGCATCCACTGCCTGCCTGGGCAACCTGGGACAGTGTCTCACCACCCTCACAGAAAAAAAAGCTTTTTCCTATTATTTAGCCTAAATTTTCCCTCCTTCAATTTGTACGTATTGCCCCTTCTCTTATCACTGCAGTTCCTAACACAGAGTCCTTCTCTAGCTCCCCTGTAGCTCCTTCAGATACCGAAAGGCTATAAGGTCTCCACACAACCTTCTCATCTCCAGGCTATAAGGTCTCCACACAACTTCTCATCTCCAGGCTGAACAGCCCAAGCTTCATCAGCCTCTATTCATAGGGGAGATGCTCCAGTCCTCTGATCAGCTTCGTGGCCCCCTCTGGACTTGCTCCAACAGTTCCATGTCCTTCTTATATTGAGGACACCAGAACTGCACACAGAATTCCAGGTTGGGTCTCATGAGAGCAGAGTAGAAGGGGAGAATCACCTCTTTTGACCTGCTGGCCGCAAACCTTTTGATGCAGCCCAGGACTTTCTGGACTGTGAGCTCACACTGCAGCTCCTGAGGAGTTTCTGATCCACCATCACCAATGGCAGAGTAAAGCTGTCATTGGAAAGTGTGGAGCGAGGGTGTAAGACATGGCCATTTACCCAGGGACTACAGGAGTGTGCTACTTAATTTTGAATGAAACATTAAATTATAATAAACATTAAACCTCCACTACAATTTATCATTATGTCCTAAGCAAGCTGGTTGGAAAAGTTTTTGTGATTAAGCTGGCAAAGGCAATTACTGAAGGAAAAAGGGTGAAACGTCTTGTTGCTGCATGGCTCACGGAAGGCCCAGTCCTCACTTCATTTATCACCAGTCCCTGTGGGGACGAGCTCTGAGATGGGCTGTGGGCTTCAGCTCCTTCCAGAAGATAGTGGTCACAGAAGCAGCAATGGAGGAGGAATGGCTGAGGGGGAGCTCACAGCAAACTTATCCCATCTGACAGCTTTTCTGGTAAATAAGCACTCCTGGTGTATACTGAGGACATTTTCGTACTCTGCATTTACTAATCTTGATCTCCCATACATTAGAAGGGCTCAATTTACAGCTCATTTGAAGACAGAGGCTAGATGACTAAGAATTAAAGCTCAATCTCTTTGTTAGTGCACAAGTCTCAGAAGACCTTTGGAGAAGAGAGGACATTCCCTTTTTCCTGGTTTGTTTTTTTTTTTAACGCACAAACTGAGTTTAAACATGGGGTTTTGTTTGCTTAGGATTTGGGTTTAGTTGATTATTCTCTCAGACTGACAATGATAATCAGTCAGCAGCGTGAAGGTAACAGGCACTTTCTGTTCAGACAGAGATTGAGTAGCGTGAGCTGCAGCAGCCATCACCTTCCTCCACTAATAGCACAGTCTTTAGCCATATGTGTCCATACCAAACAGCAACAGATGGTGCTTACAGATTTAAATCCCTCAAGGCAGACAGAAGAAGTGCCTAAGAAACACACCTGGACAGAAATAAATATTGAAAACTACAAAGACATTTCAGCACAGAAGTGTACTTCTCTCTTTGTAGTATACAAAAGCAGAGATTAATAAGTAGTAATTCCTCCTTTAGCAAGTACTTACACTTCTTCTGCTTCTCATTTGCTACCACATACTGCGTGGAAGGGATGATAAATGAGACCTGTACCACCATCATGAATATTCACGTTCCCAAAAGAGATCATTGCTTCTATTTTTCCTTTAAGAGAATTACATTTACTTGCTGCTCAAATCCAAGAAATTATTGCAGGCAATGCTAATTTCCACTCTTCTTCAGGATGAGAAGGACCTCAGACTAGGAACTGCTCAGCTTTTGGCGCACCAAAAAAATGGATGAAGTTTAGGGCAGTAAGACCCAGGGCACTGAACAGCCCTTGACTGGACACGGGAAGAATAATTTCAGCATTATCATCTTTCTTTTGTTCACTGAAGCCCCAAACAGGAAATATGTGAAAGTTTTCCAACACAAAATATCTTAAGACCTCACTCCTCTAATGCTGAAGAGGCAAGTTTTCCTATAACATACTTTGCATGATAGCAAAATATGTCCATGGACACTTTAAAATCTGTAATTGATAGATAAGCCCAGGGTTAATGGCATTGCCACCAAGGTGACCTGAGGGGACTCTGACAAAGCAATTAAAATAGTGGATTTGCAAGAAAAGAACATGAAGTCATTGTGACAATCTAGGAGAGAAATATTAGCCCGTTGCAGATGATCCATGTTCAAAACAGAAACCCTAATGTTTTGAGTCAGCTCATCACTGCCAGAGGGCAGCTGAAAAATTCACTCAGCAAACACATAGAGCGTTTTATAAAATTAGTTAAAAGCAGACTATTTGCTGAGGAAAATAAACCAGACATGGTTTGGAGAGACTTCTGAGAAAAATGGTCCAACAGCAGGTAATTAGAGAGACTGTGACTGAAGAGGGGATTACTAAAAAGGCACAGGAGATTAAACAAGTTTCCTTGTCAGTTTATGAAAAGCCTCACTCCTATTTCATAAATGATTTCCTAAATCAGGTCCACCTAGCAAGTTTTGCTCAGGAGCAGGTGGTTCATCTGCTCCAGCCGATAACGCAGCAAGAAGCTGAGGCAGGAAGGCTAACGAAGCACTGAGCCCTGATGGCTGTGCTCATAAAAGTTTGTCGTGTTTCAAATTAAGAAACGTGTCAACTGTTGCTCAGGACTTTCTTTTGCGAAAGAATCCTCTCCAGTTTCTAAACACAGGAAGGATTCTTGCAAGGCAGCTCTGATTTTTGAGGCTTTTCGTCTCTCACAGCTCTATAATGAGGTGAATTTTTGAAATGAAAGGGTTGCCAAGTTCAGAACACAAAGATTTATTTCCCATTTCATTTTGTTGGTCACTACAGGCTCAAATCTACAGATGATTTGGGACGGGGTTTTGAATTTTATGCTTTCTTTTTACTGAAAACACCTACATTTCTGCTATACCTTCACTGACAAACAGACACAATTGGCATTTATTTCCAAGTGCATTTCTGGGTGATATTTCTCTTTTGAGTATCAAGTGCATTTAGGCTCAGCAGTGAACCTTACTTCTTGGATGACATCTCAATAGAGAGCTTGGAAAAATAAATAGAAGCTTTCTTTCTACTGAGGAAGGAATAATATATTTTCAAGTTTGACATTCTTCCTGCAGAAAGGAGAAGAGAGAGGCTATTGGAAAAGAGGGACATGGGATCCATATGAAGACACATTTGTAATAGGGCATTATTTTGATGTGTTACTCTGCAGTGGTCTTATGGATTTTAATTTTAGCAATCAAGCTATTTTTTTATGGGATATATTGGGGAGAAATTGGAAGGAGCAGCAAGTATAAATACTCTGGTTAAAAAAGGTATCAAAATTCATGTATAGATGGTTGACAAAGGCAATACTGTGCATTCTTGGCAACCCACTGGGGTTTATTATAAGTGGTTAGCTCCCCTCTCCTGCTTTTGAAGAAGACAGAACAATAATAGCTCTTTCTCTGATGAAAGGGAACTGAAAGAAGATGAACTTACTGCCAGGAATAAATTGTCTATTTTCGTATTACATTGTCCTTCCCATATTTTTGCATAGAAAAAGAGCCTAAAAGATTTTACTATATGTTGTGACATAACAGAGGCTTGTACAGGGCTTTGATTTTCCAACAATGCAGCATTACCATACTTTTCAGTCACATTCATACAACAAAGAGATTCTTTAGCGTGGACTGCAGACAGGCTGATATGGAGCAGTGGGTATCATCAGGCAGAGATAGTGGTAATTCTGCATATTTTATACATCCTGAGAATCCTCAGGATGCTTTGAGCTGGAATCAGCACGGTTTCCCATCAGGTGAGTGATGCATTGTGATCACTCAGCTTATGCAGCTTTAGGAACAAGCCTTTCTTCCTCTACGTGTATTTCAGGGTGGTATTTACAGGACTATAAAAGTAAGCTAAATGAAGCTGGGATGTTTCCTAACATGCAATTATTTTCAGGATCAAATCCTACGACTTGGAAGGGATGCAAGAGAAGCAGAAGCTCATCACCAAAAGACCTGCAAATGTTTCTGTGTATACAGTTGAGAAACTCTGCTAGGAGAGAAAAAAACCAGTAAGTATAAAATTAAAATCTATCTCTTGCAGAAGAGAAACATCACTCGCAAATGTTTTACCTCGTGCAAATCAAATCAAGTGATGTACATGAAGAATAAACACATTTAGAGGGAAGACAAATGAATGAATAGAGTATCTTGACTAGCAATTAGTTTCTGTGCCCAAGTACCATCAGTACAAAATTGATGAGCAAGGTAACCTTTGGCTGCACTTTAGCAAGTTCTTCATTAGTTTTCTGGCTTTCCTGTTCAAATATTTTATTTCTTCTTCCACGCTGAGAAAAATGATCCATCCTGCTTGCACCACCAATGTGTTTGTGCTGTGCTGTTGGTGTAGGTTCTTCTAGCAAGAAACACTACCTTTCTCCCCAAGCCTGTCTTCCAACAAGGGAAGACAAAGGAAGAAAGAATTTTCTTTCCTTCTTTTCACAGATTAGAAAACCAGACCACTCAGATTAAATAACTGAAGGTCACCCTCAAGGTCAATGGTTTTGAATTGAATCAGTTTGAACAGAAATCAGTAACAAACTTATTTGTGCCTTAGGAAATTTCTCTTGACATGCATAGAGGTAGAGGAAGAACATGCTGGTTCCTGGGGGGAAAAAAAGGTGGTGAGACAATTGGAGTTGTCAGACAAGGCTAGGTAGGCTACAATATTATCCGTTGGTGTCTGCTCCAGTCTGTAATTGGTTGAGAGGCCTCCTTTGAACATTTGTCTGACATTAGTGCTACTCAAGGCACTGAAGTGTAAGTGCTCATGGATGGGAATGTACATGCCCTGTTTGTTAATGTCCTGCACAAGAGGATTATATGGGAGAATAGGGAATGTTATAGAACTGTCACTCGTATACAAGCTGGAATTTAATTTAAGCTTTACTTCAGACCTTGCCTTTCCACACATTTTCTTCTCCATTTCACTCCTGTTGTATCATGTATCTCTCTTTCTCACAGATCTGTGCTGCTGAGCCAAACGATAATGATGAAAGCTGCAAAGAAATGCAATGTTCTTTGGCAGTATTGCACTACCTGCAGCACTGCTTTGAAATGAAATGTCACAACTCAAGGTATTATTGAGTGACTTATCAGTTACTGAAGTCCTCTAAAAGAGTGGGTCTGAGAGATTTCTTTAATTCCTCCAGCAAAAACAGGTGATGGGTGATCAGCTACACATCAGAAGGAGTGGAGATACCGGATTAAGAGTCCTTCCCAATGCATGGAGAGCCAGCTGGGACAGCTGGGACACCTCAGCAACACACACAAGGTGCTTCTCCCAGCTAACCTCTACCCCAAATTTTACAGAGCATAAAGCTGTTGTGAACAGTCAACAGGGAACTGCAAGTAAATACCTCCCTGTGCTGTACTGGGTTACACAAGGCATCTCTTGCTACTTAGGATTAAGAAACCATCACACAGCTGAAGCATTTAGCACATATTTATAGCTTTGTTTCAAAGTCCAAGTTTTAACATTCTTTTCAGTCTTTACTCCATAATTTTCTGCCCTCCATTCAAAAACAGCCTCAGAGAAAAGCCAGTCTGGCTATGGAGTAGCAATATATTTTGAATTGTCTTCTGCTCTTGGATTGAAACCAGCAGTAAAATGCACTCCGGGAGGAGAGCTGAGGAGTGCTTAATTAGAAAAAGAATGTATGACCGCTCTCTGCAAATGGGCATCTGATGTAGCCTTGGCACTGTCAGAATAATGCTGTATCAAACAACCCTCTGCATAGCAAATCTCAGAGGTGAACTCATTACACTGCCAAGCACACAAGTTGCCATCTTCTCAGAGACATCAGGCATGACCAGCAGAAACAGATGCAATTTTTGTTAAATTAAAGCATGTGGCACTACTCAAGTAAATAAATAAATAAATAAGTCTACATAAAACATTACCTTCTTTTTCATTTGATCTGCTCCACACATGTACCAAAAACCACAGCTGTTGCTTTTAGTGATAAAAATAAAATGGAAGTGCACTTCACCCCAGTGGAATGACAGAAATAGAAAATATGGAACCCAGTAATGACATTTTTATAATCCTTTTCCAGAATTGAATGGCACTTCAAACATTTTCTTGTTTTTATTTTTAAAGATCCATAGGAATAAAGAAAGCCATACATAATTTTTTTTTCCCCCCTGAAAAACCATGTATAAAGAGAAAGCAAGAGTAAGCAATGCCTGTCCAGGGACCAGCTACTCTGATAAATGTTTAACAGAGCAAAAACACTAAAAGGAAGAAAACATTTTCTTGTTTCCAAACCCTGGCATCACAGCACAGCACCTGGGCTTTATGGGAAAGCCCTACAGCATGGGATGATGGAAGGAGCCAGGTTTGAGGGGACCTCAGGAGGTCTCTGGTCCAAACTCCTGCTCAAAGCAGGGTCAGCCATGAGATCAGACCAATTTATTCAGTCAAAACTGGAGACAGTATTCCAAATACCCACTAATAAATGTCAAATAAATAGGGCTAATCATGTCCATCAGTCTGCTCTGCTCGTGCAAGCACAGCTCAGGATGCTGGTAGCCTGTTTGGCTACCAGGGCCCACAGCTGGCTCATGTTCAGCTGCTGTCTACCAAGATCCCCAGGTTCTTTCCAGCAGAACTGCTACCAGGGAGTCAGTGCCCAGACTGTTACTGCAAAAGGTTATTCCTCCCCAGATGCAGATGCTGCATTTGTCCATGTTGAATTTCGTGAGGTTCCTGTTGACCCATTTCTCAGCCTATTTAAGAGCCTCTGAATGGTGGCCCTGCCCTCAAGGGTATCAACTCTTCCCCATCCATTTTGTGCCACCTATACACTCTACAGTCCCCAGTGGTAGTCCACTTCTTATTGGCTTCAACTGGACCACCACCTCTTAATCATCACCTCCTGAGCTCAGTCACCCAACCAGATGGGTATATACACGTAGTGATGCAGAGAGATGCAGTTACTTGGAGATAACTTCCAGGGCTCCAGTTATGTGGAAGCCCAAGCAGCATGAAGAACATTTCAAGGCAATCAGCCAGGTTTAGTTTCCCCTAAAAAACCTGATGCCAAAAAAACCAAACTTGCAGACTCTCTAGATCACCTAGAATTAAATGCTAGAAAAATGCCCAAGGGCATTCAAAACCAAGCACAGTGTATATTTAAGATGGAATACTCACATCACTTCCAGTCGAGCCATTCTGGAGTCGTTTCCTCCAAAGGAAATGACCTCACAGGTATAATCTCCAATGTCACCTGACCATGTCTGGCTGATGAGGAGGGTTCCATCTTTCTCTACTGTGATCCTGGAACTGCTGGATGGATTTATCACAACACTGTCCTTCTTCCAAAGATACCTGAGTATCACAATTTCAGTTATTGATTACTCATAAGAAAGTCAAAACAGATTTATTTGAACTCTGCTGAAGGGTATCAGCTTCTGTCATCATGTGCTAAAAATGACAGAGCCTACAGTTACTTGCAGGAGCAGTGCCCTTTACACATTTAAGTTTTAGATAAATGATCAGAATGAGAGATGTAATCCATCCATTATATTATATATTTTATAAACAATACTGTACACTTTACATGGAAAAGAAGAAGTACTCATAAATGCCCAAGTTCTTAAGTTCACCTCCACTAGAACCTCATACTTCACAGTTCACAGCAGAGGTGTTGGCCCATCCCTGCTAAGACTATATGACATTAGACTGCCATTATTAGCAACATCTCAAAACTGCCATGGCAAGGTTTACTAGAACTCATCCATCAAAACACAGAGATGTGTATAGCCCACAGACTTACAATTATCTAGCTCTACATGAAATTTTTAAACCTGTACTTCTCTTTCCAAAGTTCTTTCTGCAGTTCACCCTTCAAGCACCCTCCAAGCTCTTCCTTGCATTTCCTTTCATTTGTGTTGCTTTCAGACTGTATGAATCTTCATGGAAAATTTATTTTAAATTTTGAGATTGCTCTAAATGTTAGTGGTTCAGACAAATTCTGGTTGCCTTCACACAGTGCAAGCAGAATTCAAGCCCAAGTTATTGAGTTGTTTCCAAAAACATGGGCATCTCTTGTGTGGCTTTTATACACCCCAGAGTAAACACTTCTGAAATCCTATTCCTTCTCTTTGGCTTTTACTCTCATTAAGTATCAGCTTCTGACAAGTTGGTTTTATTGATAGTGTATTAACCTTGACAGTAAAATCATGGAAGGCTATATTGAAGTCATGAAGTGGAACATAGCTCATTGTAAATAATACATAAGGCTGAAATGGAAGATGGGATTTATATGATTAATGATACAGTGTACAACCCTATAATGCAGTAATCAGGGGTCTGGTGTGAAAATCTGGGGTCCTGAAACTTTTCACCTAATGCTATTCATACAGCTTATAAAATTAAGCTTGGATAAACCACACAAACAAGAACTGACACACCAACCTGATTGAAATTCTAGGATCATGAGTGGCTTCACATCGCAGAGTGGCCGTGGTGCCTTTGATCACAGTGCTGTCCTCGGGAGGGCGAACAATGGAAGTGCGATCTGAAAGGAGCACAAGCCTCGGTTCAGGTGAAATTACAGCATTTTGACTTGGGTATTCACTCAGAGAGCAGCCACTGAGCGTTTGTCATTCAAAGTGAGCGGGCCATTACTCTTCAAGCCTTTGCTGTGAAGGCTCCCCTCCCTCTGAAGTCATTGTGACAAGAAGAGGTGGCACACTGTGGGGTGCAGAGAGCCAAAGCAGCAGAGGGCATGAGCCTGAGCCTGCAATGATCAGAGCAGGAGAGTGCTAAAGCTCTACTAACTCTCAACTTGGCTTGTGGCAAATGTCGGTGGCAACTCCCTCAAGTCAGAAGGCAAAGAGGATGTTTGTGATGTGTTATGAATGAATCCCAAGCACACACTGAGTCAGGAAAGAAGTCACACTGTTTGGAGCAGGGAAAACACAAACAAAACCAAAGAAGATCTGTGCAGAGAATGCACTAGAAAAATACTGAGAAAGAGGTAACCTTAAATGGGACCTGAAAACCTCATCAAATCCAGGGCAGAGGTTAAAGAAGGAGGAGCTTCTGATAGACAAATTTTCCATGTAAGAAAGATATGTTGTTTACTCAAATGTTTCAGAACATCTTTATTCAAGCCCCTCCTGGAGCCCCAGAACACAATAACAGCTGTAACTACAGCAACCAGATCCAGTGTGAAAGATCTCTATTATGCTTAACACACAGGAGCAGCAGCAGATACTATCAGCCGAGGCAGGTAGACAACCAGGATGAGTATGGAAGATATGTGGATAATGTTAATCAGTCCCAAATCCCTACAGACATAATCAGCATCTACTGAGGTACCTCATACATGCACAAGCAGGAATCATCAGCAAAATCAAAAGCTGCCTCTAATAGCATGGAACTTTTAGCATTATTTCTGATGTACCTATATACACCTTCTGGCTTTATAATGGTGCTGTTGCTGCCCAAATATTAGGTTACATTCACTTTTCTTTCCCTCCTCCAATGCAGTATAATGAACAGGAAGTATCTTTAATACATGTAAGAATTACAGGTTTGGGAATTAATACAAAAGATCTCCTTTACTTGATCCATACACCTGGATATCATTCAGTTTTCAACGTCCTGATATCTATATGTGCTGGTTTGGGCTGAAGTGGAGCTAACTTTCTTCCCAGTGGCTAGGATGGGGCTATGTTTAGGATTTGTGCAGGGCACAGGGTTGATAATGCAGAGATGTGTTTGTTGTTGCTGAGCAGAGCTCACACAGGGCCAAGGCCTTTGCTGCTTTCCACACTGCCACACTAGAAGGAAGTTGGGGGTGCATGGGTGGTTGGGAGGAGACACAGCTGGGACAGGTGACCCAAACTGACCAAAGGAATATTCCATACCATATGGCATCATGCTCAGTATATAAAGTGTGTGGAAGAAGGAGGAAAGGGGAGACATCTGGAGAGATGAACCATTACACGTGATGGGCCCTGCTCTCCTGGAGATGGTTGAACACCTCCTGCCCATGGGAAGCAGTGAATTAATTCCTTGTTTTGCTTTGCTTGTGTGTGCAGCTTTTGCTTTCTCTATTAAACTGTCTTTATCTCAACCCATGATTTTTTGTAGCTTTTACCCTTCCCATTCTCTCCCCCAGCCTGTTGGTGAGGGAGTGTGTGAGCAGCTGCATGATGCTGAGCTGCTGGCTGTCTCAGTAAGATACAGACATGATAGCCACACGTCACAAATATATTAGAGTTACTGCTAGTAATGTTTTCAGGTATTCCCAAGTTCAAAAGGAAAAATGTGGCTGATTTAGCTCGCACAGTTTGGGGATTTACAAAAGCCAAATATGCACCACACATCACCAGCATAATCAGTACTTTGAGTGCAGGAGAGGAGGGAGTGCCACAACATTTCTGTATTTATCATCATCATCTTCATTATTTCTAGTTGCTTTTAGTCCCAGCTGAGGGATCATTATTTTCCACCTTTAGAGGCAAAACACATGTTACACTTCAATTTAACTCACTTAGTATTAACACAAGTAAACCTTTTGGATCAAACTCTCTTCCCCAACAGAAGAAATAAAAATATACAAATCAAGAGTAAATGACAAAAACATTTCATTGGTTATCCTGTCCCAGGCCAATCTGTAGCATGAAAGACTAGCTGAAGTCTGCTGTACTTTGGTTTGGCTTCCAACAGTGCCCAGTGCCACCAAGAAATACAAAAGTATGAGGAAAATCATATCCATTGTAACTGTGGCCACAGCCTTAGAACCAGCATGGACTGATCTGTGCTGCCTGCAGACTCCTGGAGGCAGAAACCACCTGCAAACAGCCAAATCTACAAGTTAAAAGGTCTGATTTGCAATGCAAGACATCAAGGCAAAACCTGAGCAAAATTGCAATTGTGATTGAAGCTGTATTTAAATGTACTTCCTTTCACAAAATAGAGAAGTTTATATGCATAATTTTCCAAACAAAAAGGGGATTTGTGATAGGTTTCCTAAAATAGATACATTATTCCTATTAAATCATACAAGTATCTCTATTAACCAGAAAAGCATAATTACTTATGAAAACTTCCTGAGCATACAACAAAAACTGATTAATACTTGATTAAAGTTAGACTTTAAACAAAGCATTATCCTTACTCCACACTGTCAGCATCACAAAAGCATTCAGAGCTCCTTCAGAGTTGACTGCACAGCAAGTATAATTGCCTGCATCCTGCAGGAAAACGGGTGTTATCTGGAGCCCTCCAGACTCGAGAAGAACGAAGCGAGGAATCTGAACTGAGCCACTGGCTAAGATCTGGTTTCCTGAAACACAGAAGGGAGAAGCAGCATGATTAGCACCATGCAGGCTCACAGATTAAACACTGCAATCCTAGTTCTTCCAGCAGCCTGTTCCAGCCTGCCCAGGCCACCAGCTCACAACAGCCCCAGAGCAAACCTGCTGCTCCCAGCAACAGGGAAGGGAACAAATATGCACTCAGTGGAGCCAGAGTATCTCAATAGTAGGGATGGACAGGAAAAGGTGGATTACAGTTATTGTACAACAGGTTAATCACTGGCTACCTTTCTTCCATGAGATGGCAGGTTTTGGAGCCCCTGAAACCTCACAGGTCAGCACTGCAGTCATCCCCTCCGTGACTGTGGTATCCTCTGGGGGCTGGATGAATGTTGGTTTAATGTCTAGAATCAAAAATTCAAAAAACTCAATGCATCAGCTCTCAGAAAGATCCTTTACCCTATTATCATGGACTACTTTGCATCCATTTTTATAGAGCTGATCATGGAGAAGGACATGACAATAAGACATGAAAACCTTTCAGCAGTGACTGTAACCTTTCCTTATTCATCTCCTAGGAATTGTCTAATCCTGTTTATTACCTACATGGAAAATAAAAATCTATCAGTGCTCATACCTGTACAAGTAAGATGGGTTACAGAAAAAGGAAGATAAAGCTCAAAATGAGCGTTTGGGGGGAAGTTGAGAAATCTAGATAAACAAAACTATTTTCCTTCATCTTCATAACAGAGTTCTTTAAGATGAAAAGCAACTTGAGAAAGGCATTAACTTTGAAACTTAAATGTCAGCCAAAAGAATTTAGAACCTGAGTCTTATCCAAGACATTTTCCAAGTTTCTTTCTCTCTTATTTTCCCCCAGTTGCATTTCATTACATTTTTTTCCCTGCAGTTTCCTAGATATATATTGAACTGGGGCTGATCTATTTTCTGAGGCCAGTAGGAACTCTGGTCAGTATGCACAAACTGCTCTTGAGCTAAAAATCAGCTTCCTGAAGAGGAGTTTAGTATCACAGAAATGCCTGTTAATAATTGCTTTTAAAAGAGACTACTAGGATTTGTAATTCTTCCATAGAGAAGCTTGCACTTCATTAACAAAACCACTTAATCGCACTTTTAGACCAAAAAAAAAAGACATTTAACATGAACTTTCTTTCTTTCCCTCTGCTAAATGGAGTTGTAGACAAAGGCAAATAAAATGATAAAATGCACAGTCATGAAGCAGTAGCTCAAGTTCAGAACAGAGTTACATTAGAGTAGACATAATTACCAAAGTATAAAGGAAAGATAAAACTATTTCACGATTAACCTTCTTTTTTTTTTTTTCTCCTTTTCACTATGATCTTCTTTAGCTGTGTGAAATAGGAGATTTCACCTCAAACCCTTAACGTCACGGAGAGATTTTCCACAGGCTTCATCAGATTGTGTTGAGGCCACAAGGCCATTTGGGGGTTCCTTCCAGTTGGGGCAGCTACACTTGAGAAAAACTCAAGGTTCTGTCAGTTGAACTAAAGGAGCACAGAGCAGTAGAGAAATCTGATGGATGTAGAGTCACCTACAGAAATGCCAACTCACGGATCTCGTATCACAACTCTCTACTCACTGGTCACATCCAGGTAGGTGTATGTCTGTATCTCCCCAGCTTTGTTACTAGCAAAGCACTGGAAGATCCCAGCATCCTGGGGACGCAGAGCGTGGATCCTCAGCCCACCACTCAGCAGGACTTTGTAGCGAGGATTTTCCAGCCTGCTGAGGGGAACAGAGTCCTTGTACCACACCAGGGTGGGAATGGGAACACCTACAAAGAAAAATAAACACCGATTTCGCAATTAGTCTTTGCACAACACATTTTAGGTAGTCAAAACTCTCAGCACTGTTATGGTCACATCCCTGTTTTGCCATCTTTCCACACCAATTATTTATATTTTTCCAAGCTGCTTTAGCTAAATGGAGGCTGCATCTCACATTATCAATGGTAATAATACACTGCAGGCCACATGGGAATAAAACCAGCAAACACTGTAGGGAGAATGTTGAGAAAACATGTTATCAAATTACTTTCTTCACCCAATCATATTTCATGCTACTACAAAATAAGATTTAGAGCAATTTCATGTTGAAAAGCAGAATCATGCTACTTAACCAGCAGCAGTGTGGCAGTGCAGCAAGTCTGGAAGACTGTTCCATCCCAAATAAGATTCCTCTGTGCTACCGTAGCTAAGATGTCAAAATACAAAGGAAATGGCAAATTACACACTGAAAATGAAGTGCTCACATGGCTGTATTTGAGTCCTAATTTAGCAGCTTGGTTTGAGTTGATGTACAAACAACATGTTGCCAAGAATGGCATAGCTATAAATTTATATTATTTTTATTCAGTTTCAAGCTTCACCTGTTATTAGAAAAATGCAGGCATAAAGAGAAACAAAACTCCTACCCTAGCTAGAACTTGTAGTCCTGTTTATTCTCGTTTTCTTTCATGTGCAGGTTCCACAAGCCCTGACACAGTTATCACACACACATTTTTGCTGCAGTCATATCCCCATCAGCTGCCATGACCTGGCTGTAAATTTAGCACACACAAATAGTGTAGGATCCTCTTTTCCTCAAGAGATGTCAGGAGCCTAGAACAATCTTACACAGATGTTCTCCTTCCACTCCTCATATCAGACACTGTTTCATCTTCATATCCCAGAAATCCCTAAAGGATCAAATGCTGAGGGCACTATGCAGGGATCTGTAGTGAGGCAGGTATTTTATGATGTGATTGAATGATGAGAGAATCATTAAGGTTGGAAAATGCCTTCAAGATCATTGAGTCCAACCTTTGACCAAACACCACCTTGTCAACTAAACCATATCACTAAGTGCCACATCCAGTCAGATCCTGAACACCTCTAGGGATGGTGGCTCCACCACCTCCCTGGGCAGTGCATTCCAGTGCCTGAGCACCCTTTCAGTGAGGAAATTCTTCCTGATGTCCAACCTGAACCTCTCCTGGCAGAGCTTGAGGCCATGCCCTCTTGTCCTGTTGATTGTTATCTGGGAGAGGAGACTGACCTGGCTACAACCTCCTTTCAGGTAGTTGTAGAGAGTGATAAGGTCATCCCTGAGCCTTCTTTTCTCCAGACTGAACCCCCTCAGCCACTCCTCAAATTACTTAGTTTCTAGACTCTTCCCCAGCTCCACAGCCCTTCTCTGGACACGCTCCAGCCCCTCAGCATCTTTCCTAAACTGGGGGGCCCAGAACTGGACACAGCACTCGAGGTGCCTCAGCAGTGCTGAGTACAGTGGGCAATCACTGCTGTGGTCCTGCTGCCCACACTTGCTGATAGAGCCAGGATGCCATTGGCCTTCTTGGCCACCTGGGCACACTGCTGGCTCATAATCCCAGGATCCTGAGGGTATCCAGCTGATTTAAGTTAGCTCAGCTCCAAACATGACATTTTCAAAATAATTAGCTTTTTTTGAACACATATCACTTAGAACATCAGAACTACACATTCCCTTGTAATAAGGGAAGGAACCCTGGACTTAAACTCATGGGTGAGCGAAATTTGCCCAACTGGAGAAAAGCAGGGCCCACCGAAGCGTGGAGGATGGGATGTCACTGATGAACTGAGCATCTGCAGACGATGAATTTCACTGCAATGCTGGCAGTCGCTTGATGTTCTGAGAGCAAAAGTGCTATGGGAAGATCTATATAATCATCATTATAATTTTAAAACTCCCAAAGTTAAATACTGCTGTATTATACTTCCATTCATATCTTCTCTCAATGTACTATTCTCTTTCTACAGACAAAAGCTGTATTAACTCCTGGGAAGAATGTACAAACAATGCAAGGCACGATTGAAAAACAACATCCAATTGCTGCTGTTACTTTTATAAACATGTATCATTTGCTACAATCACCACTGATGCTTTTGTTCTGCTGATAAAATAAAATGTACTCATAATCTTGCAGGTAATCATCTCAGGAAGAAACTCACTATGTAGAGTGCATTGTCTGATAGAAAATAGACGTGGTGTAGTAGCTTACAATAGGCATAATTTAAATTTCACACAACAGCCCATATAGAGAATTAACGTAAATTCCAGCGTTCAGAATTCTCGGTGAGAGTGTTATTCATCTCTTGAAAATCCTCCTGGGCAAATACAAATTATCACTGAGTAATGAAGAAACAGATGATGCAAAATGAAATAGTTCTCCTGATGCTGAGAAGCCTGGAAATTATTTCAAGTTTAAATAATAGCAACTCCATTTTCTCACACATTAGACTTGATAGGCACTGAGGAAATAATGAAATCCTGCATTCAGTACACTCAAACCTTTAACACTGGTGTCATTCCATAAATCCCATTCTACTAACAGTATTGGCAAACCTTCTAATCCTATAATCACTGAGAGATACACCTTCCTATCACCAACTCAGCTGACAAACTGAATATTACCATCTCTATTTCTCTACATTTCAGTTACGGATATCTTCCTCTACTCAAAGTTATGAGTCTGAATAATAGGATCTTATCTAAGCACTCTGATGCCTGTCAGCAGCATTCATTTGGGCTTTAGTGATCTTCCCAGAGAGATTTGTCTTCCAAGTTGTACACATGTTCTTTTATAATTTTGCTACCTGTTTGGCTGTAAAAATGGTTCAAATCAGCTTCTTTTCTTCTCTCCTTCTCCCACCCCACAACCTCTCCTCTCCCCACAGCCCCAAAGGAATTTTGCTTCTTTTCTTCCCTAAAGAACTTCTGTTGAAAAAATTATGAAGAGAAGAAAACACTTTAAAGACCTTTCACACTATACCTTTCTAAGCAGTATCAGCCCTACCTCACTGTTTGAGGCATAAGAGAGTAGCCTAAAAGACCAGCAATAATAAGCAAAATGACCTTATTTCTCAGTTGTATGCAGACTGTTCATTTTTCCCAGACAAATTAATCTAGCGTCATGGGGGAGAAGGGAAGGCAGGAAACAAACACTGGTTCTGGCTTTGCCACTTTCTCTGTAACCTTGGGCAAATAACTTCTGCAACCCAAGGCTCAGTTTCCCCCATCTGTAAAACAGCTGCTTGACTCTTTGCCAAATTTAGCTTAAGAACCTGGATGAAAGACTCAAAATATTCACTGTGTCAATTTTCTTATTTATTTTTCATAGCCTTCCCTAGATCCCAGTAGGCTACTGGGGAATCCCAAAAGCATCTTTCCATCTACTTTTCTAAACAGGTAGAACTAAAGTCCAATTAACTGCACTCCCCAGACACCACCACCACTGCCTGCAGCTCTAAACTTTCTATAAGCAAATAAGAAAAAGCATTTAGAGGAAACCCATTGAACATGCAGGCAGCATCGGCGACTGCGGGAAGATAAACAGCAGAGCCTGGTTACTGCGCGGCCCGATACACTGAAACTCCATTACAGCCGAGTAGAAAGCTACTTGGTGCAAGTTGCAATTTTATTTACAGTTAATCTCTGCTTATACTGTGAAATTAATCTGTCTCTCACACATTCATAGTGCAGGAAGACTTGGCAAATGGGCTTTGTGCACAGAACCTGATGGGGCTGGGAGAAATACAATCTGTCTTCCCGTTGGTAGCAAAGCTATAGGGCAGCTCTGCAGTTCCCCCAGTGCTTTATTCCAGCTCCCAGCTGGGAGCAGGGAGACTGCAACCTTCATTCACCCTCTTTTTGAGCACTGACAATTGCCAGATTTGTGTAATAATGGATCAAAACTCCTCTATGTTTAATTCTAGTACCTGCCCCTTGTAAGTCTGTGCTAGAGATAGTCACCAAAATAATCCACGTGAAGACAGGTTTCCATGCTCCCACACCACAACAAGTCAGATGTGCACTACAAGAGTGCACCAGAAATAAATAATTTTGGCTAGTAAGAGTTCCCATGTCTTCAGTAAACTTCATCTGCTGAGAATGGTTATGAGTGCCCTGTTAATGCCCTTGGGAGCTAAACTGCCCAAAACAAGAGTTAGGGTAGAAGGAAGAGTTGAAGTCAACCTCATATCTCCCTGATTCCTCCAGGTTTTAGGTCAGGATTTCTATTTTTAATACATGAAAAACATTTGAGATAGCAAAAAAGTCTTTTCAGTGACAGTCAGACAGAGTCCAGAGATTCATCAGAGTTGTGCAGTAACGAAACATTAAAAAATAAATAAATCTCAGAATGTTTTTTAACCTCAATTTCTCTAATGACACAACACTTAGTTTTAATTATGCTATTTGAAAAATCTTCTCCAATTAAAAAAAAAAAGCCAATATATTTGTCATAACACATGCTGAAACAGTAAGTTGGTGGCTCAGGGCCAGAATAAATGTCTGTATTGTCACAATTCCTTCCTCTGAAATTGACTTGTCTTGGATGCTCAGGCACCAAATGCCAGAGCAGCCCAAGGACAAAATGCTTTTCCCACCTCCTCAGCTCCAGCAATCTGTGCTTCAGCCATTTCCTGAGCCAGAGCTGCAGACACACAGCTGTGTTTAACAGCCCTTACTGGATTTTTCCTCCATAAATATTGTTTGTTTTTCCTAAATAGTTTTTATTTCTCATCCTACCTCCTGCCTGGACCAATGACCTCCACAGTTTATATTTTCGGAAAAAGTTCTCTTTCCTCCATCATACATCCCCCACACGAAAATTTAGCTGGTGTCTCCTCTACTTCCTGCACTGAGCAGTACAGAATCATCCTCTCCTCCTCACCTGCCCTTCAGTCATCTCCTTCACAACGTGTCCAGTCAATTTAACTTTTCATTATTCAAAACCCATGGTAGACCTTTAATTATACCATCCTTACTTTAGAACATCTTTGCCAGTTTTTCTCCATCCCTCTCTCCAGTAATGATCAGAACTGTGTGGAGGGTTTCAGATAGGGGTGCTCCCCATGGACACATACAGTGCACTTATTTTTTCTCTAGTCCTTTCTTCGCAGTACCTAACATTTTGAACCACAGCTCAGCACTGATGTTTTCAGAAGACAAACCTTTCCTGCATAGTAATAGGAAATTTCATCTCTGTCAATAATTTCATCTGCCAGTTTATTGACCAGTCAGTTCAAATCACTAGGACCTTCCACAACTCCTTTGTGGTCAGTTTTAATGTTGACTATGTTGAATAATTTCATATAATCAGCAAATACTCTTCACCCTCTTTTCCAGCTCATTTATGAGTACATTGAGCAGCACAGGTTCCAGCAGAGATTCCTGGGGAACTCCACTGACAGCAGCTCCTGGTGTGTTTTGTTTAAAATGCTATTAATTAACAACAAGACATTGTCTCTTATAATCTTAGAGCTTCATTTCTTTAAGAGCTTTTGGTAAGAGACCTCATCAAAGGCTTCTGAAATTCCAGATCAGCCAGAGAGCCCTTGCACACGTTTGCTTATCATACTATTTGCAAAGCTTCCTTCTAGAAAAGCAGTGCTGACTTTTTCCTACATGAAACACACAAAAATTGCTTGAATCATAATGGCAACAATATAATCACACAGTAAAGAATATCTTTATTAGCTTTGATCTGGAGAAAGACCCCAGCCAAGCCAGCTGTTAGTTAGGTCTGGGTGCTTTTTGAGTCAAGGATGTGATGTTTTTCACTACAGATCTCATGGCATGTTTATGTGTATTTCTTCTTAAACTCTGCATCGGGGAAAGTGAGATAACAAAACATTCACTCACTTGCCAAAGTCAGGTAGAAATTTGGTGACTTGGGCAAACCTGCTCTAATCACACGACTACAGTGTCCTAGAGTGCTAAAACAGGTAGTGTTTGTGTTTCTCTGGAACTAAATCTGAAAAACCATTTTGGTTTAGGTGGAATTCTAGACATTTGAAGCCTTTTCTATTATTAAAACTCTTGCCAATTAAAAACTCCCTGTAAGAGTCCTCCTGCAGATTTCATAACTACACTCAGACGTCAGAGTTACTGACATTTCTATCCAGCACAAAAGTTCCCTAAGACTTAGAAAAAAAGGACATTTGAATAGCTGGAAAATGCTGTTTGCATTGCAAATCATGGGTTCCATGACCACACTTTCCCCTCAGCTCATTTTCCAGCTCAAGACACTAATGTCTCTTCTACAGTGACAACTATGAAGCAAAGGCAGACTCCCAGAGCCACAGCAGCAGCACTTGAGCTGCCCAACAGAGCATTATCAAGGTGCTAGCATTACTCATGTCTAAATTCATTAACAAGGGCTGCCCAATTTTCCAAGGGCAAAGACCTCCCCTCTCCCTTGAACCTGTGATGGTTAGCAATAACACAGAGACCTCTAAACACGAAACATTTGCATCAGATGGTTTATATAAGATGATTTCATCAGTACTGGACATGCAGACGTCAGTGATCCAAGTTGGAACAATTCTGCAGACTCACCCATCGCCTGGCACAGGATGTCCACGTCTTTCTCCACTTCAGCCAAAATCACACTCTCAGGTTCAGAATATGGTTTTAGAACGGGGAAAGCAAACAAGAGTCAACAAGCAAAGCCACAGCAAAATGAAAAACAGGTGTTGATTTAAAGGTATTCATCATATAATCTTCTCCACAGGTGTTGCATTTGATATAGTGTGTTGCAAACAGACTAGTTTGTCCAAGTTTGTATCTATTTGGAGGGGGTTTTTTTTGGTAGTAAAAGCATCATAAAGAAAGTAGAACGGGGAAAGCAAACAAGAGTCAACAAGCAAAGCCACAGCAAAATGAAAAACAGGTGTTGATTTAAAGGTATTCATCATATAATCTTCTCCACAGGTGTTGCATTTGATATAGTGTGTTGCAAACAGACTAGTTTGTCCAAGTTTGTATCTATTTGGAGGGGGTTTTTTTTGGTAGTAAAAGCATCATAAAGAAAGCTGACAATTTCTGCTATGCTGAGTATGAATTCCAAAGAGTCGAGTCAATGTAAGGGAAAATTTAGGGGTTTGCACTGCAAATTACTACTCAGAGCAGGGGCTACTTTTCATTTTATAGGACTGAATCATGGAACATGTTAATGCCTTGCTCAGAAAGGCTCTCCCAAGTGGTTTATAAAGGTTTATATTTACAACATCACATTTTATAGGATAGTTTGCTCCAGTATCGAAACTAAATTCCACCTCACAAAGACATGAAGCATGTCAAATAAAGTGCCATAGCATGTCAGAGAGTTGACATCAGAGGACAAGAGCAGCATAATTAAAAAAAAAATCTCCTCATCTGTTTTATTTCCTAAAAGCAAACAGATTTAATGCTTTAATTGAAGGCCTAGTAATAATCATAAAAATCCCCACTTTATCATTAGGACTAAGGAAAAGATATGAGATGTTTAATTAAACAAAGACAAGATTGCAGAAATTGTAGAGTATGCTGGCATGTAACTTTTTCTTCTGTGCAGCATAAAATTGGAGAGCATCGTGTCAAAGTCCCACAGGCACTAAGGTTGCAGTAATTAGCATGGTAACTAAAAACTGTCATAGCCTGTTCAATGTAATTATCATCTGAATACTGTTTTTGGAAGGATATTATTTGATTCTAAATACAGTTCTGTTGTAGCATAAACAAACTCACTGGTAAGTTTGAGAAAATAAAGAAAAGGCAATGTAAGAAGCTTGTGAAAACAAGTTATTTGTAGTTTCATTTGAAGGAAATCAAGCATGTTTGAAAAAAACTGTAGCAAGCTACAACATTCAAGGTCATCTGAGCTGACCTTCTCTCAAATCTCTTCCCCAGACATGACTGAAAAATGGACTTGTGGTTGTATTATTGACAGGACATCAGTATTTAGTAAATAAAATCAAAATCACGATTTTGTCCTGCAAAATCTTATTTCTCCTGCTACCACCTGCAGTACAGCAAGTGTGGCTATCATTTCCCAGGGATGACATGCCATGCCAGCAGGTACACATCAGTAGGCACTGGATCAGAATACAAACTCCCCTCTCCCAGCACTTCTTCCCGGTAACTACAATAAAATACTTGCTTGAGTGTACAGAACTGGGGTCTCATTTGAGCACCAATGGATATTACAATTCTGTATTCATTCCAAACAAAGTCAATCAATATTAGTCTTCAACATGCTGTGCAGAGGAGGAGGGGAGGTTGCAAAATAGCCTGGAATACTTGTTTACCCAGCAAAACCAATAAAAACAAGCCAGCTGATTTATTATATTCTAATAATATACATGTGTTAACATTATTGATCCTCACTGCCTAAATATAAAGCTATTAATAAACATGCATAATAAGCTGTGATTTATTGCATATGATCTCATGCGTTAATCTAAACAACAAATTGAAAAGCTGAGCATTTAATTGAAACTCACTGATGGCACAGAGTTTGACATGTTTGATCAACTAAGTTGCTGAGTCCTCTGCAATTCATCTATGTTTTCACTCTGAGCACACTGTTTCCCTCCAAGCCTCGGCTGATGGTTTCACTGTGCTCCACTTTTTAGGATATGGGTTTTTTGAGTTCCTTATCTATGTGTCTGTCTGTGGCCATACAGGTAAGTGTCCATATGTCCATCCCAAAATAAAATGGCAACTTAACGTGATTGTGAGTTGAGGCAAAGGGAAGCAGTGGCCAAAGCAGCACTGGGTCAAGAGACCATCCAGACACACACCTCTCCAAATCCAGACATTCCCTTCTAACTTTGGGCTCTAATATTGATGTCTCTTCAGTCAGAGAGGCTCAAGTGTATGCTCCTCTGTTTAGGGAGCTCCTGACTGCAGATCTTCCACCCTTTCTTTTATAAAGGACTCTGACCTTAACAGGCCAATTTCTAAACTTGGCAACCTTCAGCCACCAGCTCTCAAACTTTCTCCTAGATCAGCAACATATACACACACTAGTGATAAATTTGCAGATTTATCTTCACCATGGGCCTGCAGTCCAGCTGCAAAGCACTTAATGTGACCTCAAAGATGCTTGTGGTTCCATGACCTCTGTTTATGTGCTGCTACTGCACACAGTTTCTGCACTTGTAGTTGGCATATTTATACAGTTGTCTTTCCCAGTGTCCCTCCCAGAATCCTCACCTGCAACCTGTGCTCTTTTCTTTGAATCCCATACAGGCTGTTATGTCACCCTCAAAGAAACTTCTTACTTTAAGAGATGCTTAGGTGAGCAGGTATCAAGCAATGAATTACGTGACAAGGAACTTGAAGTCAGTGACAACTGTCACTTAGCAAACAGGATGTGATGTTGTAAAAGGAAGATTCACATCAGCTGTTTTTGAAAGAGCAGGGAGAAACAGAAGGAGACAAGACAGAAAAAGAGCAGGAGCAGCAGAAAGATGCAATCTAAAGGCCACAGACAGCTCCCAGAGGACTTTTGGTGCCAACAGGTATAATTTCCAGCCTTCAAGCCTGTACCCACCTTTTCCCTTGGACCAAAGCTTGCTGAACTCCATTCTAAAAGCATTGCAGCAGCTAGAAGCATTGCCAAATACTACAACTGACATAGAGACAACAACCACCCATGGAGCAGTCAGACCTTATTCTTTCAATACATGCACTGATACAGAAAAACTTCCAGAAGCAACTCTACAATTTACTGCTTCTACTGCCTAGAGACAGAGACAAGCCTGGGTGAGAAGATGAGGCTAATTCATAAGGGAATTCTGGAGGATCCAAAATACCATGTGGACAAGAGGCTGTGGCATCCCAAGTCTAACATAAGTGGAAAATTAACCTTGGTGATGTAAGGAATGACAGAATCGCAGCAGTATTGGTGTAGGGATATTCTTAGGGCTTTGAGGGAAATGAAACAGCAATTTCACACAGAACCAACGAATTGTTGGGAGTGGAAGTGACCAGTGGTGATCACTTAGGCCAATCCCCCTGCTAAGGCTGGTTTATTTAGAGCAGCCTGCATGGGATGGTGTCCAGGTGTGTTTTTAACATTTCCAGAGAATGGAGATGTTATACATCATTCCCAGCCTCTCTGGGAAGCCTCTTGCAGTGCTCTGTCACCCTCAAAGTAAAGTTTGAGTTTCCCATGCAATTGTGCTGTTTTCCCACATTCCATGTCTTTTACCAGCAGCATGGATGGTCTAAAGGTCCTTTGCAATAAGGGTCTATGTCCTCAACAGAACTCAAGGCCGTGGAAGAAGCAGCTCTAGTTAGAGGTGCTGGACAATTGAAATCTCATCTCCTCACTTTTCAGAGGTGCCAGATGTCTCATCTGCACATCAGGTGTGTGCCTGAGGGCCTGAATGCCCAGCATTAACTACTAGGGAAAAAGTCAAGGTATCTGAATTTGGGTTATACAGCACCTGGTGAATAACTGTCAGAAAAAGGCCATAAAAATGCAGCAATATTTATAGGGGTCAGATGGCATTCTGAAGGGGCATTCTGGCTGTCTGTATATATGACTCGATTGCATATTTATAAGGCTTGGTTTGAATCACACAGTGTGAATTTGAACATTTATTGTTGTAGGCAATAATCATGTGTTGAAATTTAATATGTGTGGCAAAATTACAATGACTTCCAAACTATATAACATGCCAGACACAAGTCCCCAGACACAGTAATTTCTAGGAATGACAGTAATCTGTTGGTATCAGGTCAAACATTTAAATTTTTTGGAAATTATAGAATCACAATAGTTACACTAGGAAAGGACCCATTACTCCAAGCTCACCCTGCCAGCACTGTGGTGTGCTGGCAATGAGAGGGGTCACAGCTCATATTAGGCTGAAAGAAACAGATATTGTATTGTTCAGATATTGTATTGGTGTTTGACTGATCTTCACTAAAAGGTCAAGCACAAGCAAAGGGGGAAAAGAATATTTGAATATAAATGTATGGTTTTAATAGCTGTTGAGGGTTTGGGGGTTTTTTTTTCTGCACTCCAGACATTGCTGGAAAGATGCCTCTGGGCAAAGCCCTTGGGAGGCTGCAAAATTTGATACTGTTCTAACTTCCCCTGTACAGACTTACATGGTCACTGATTTTAACATTCAAAAGATAGCAGTCAGCATCCATTACATACCCTTCAAGCTGCATTGGAGATGTGTGACCTAATCCTAGATACACACATGAAAGTCAGAAAGAACAGAGAAAGCCCCAGGGGCTCCTCCAAAGCTGAAATTCCTGCATCACTCAGAAATTCAGGGCTGCATATTTAAAAGGAAAATTGAGCCTTCAACACAGAAGTCTTTCTCCAGCATTACCATAAACTAATTTATTTGGTGAATATCTTCTAAAGAAAGAGGAACTGGAAACTCAACAGCCCCTTGTAGGTACAAAGTCTGTAACTCCAGACAGTAGATCAGACTGGCCATGCTGGGAGAGAAGCCACATTGTTGATGCAGGTAGAGCAGGTTCCTTGAAGCAGGATTTTTCTTTGCATGAATATCAGGTTAAAACAGAGAGAGATGAAAAGATCCATCTAGTTTCTTGCTACTACCCCTACTGTGAGCTGCAGTCTGTGTGTTCTGAAACCTTAGACCAGCACAGGGAACACATGTCCTGTTTGCAGGACTGAAAGATGAATGTCTCAGGAATGTCAGAGGCAGAATGGGCTTCCCAGAAGTCCCATTGCTTCCCTGTGGGATAGGTCCTGTGTGCATTTGGGCCCAAGGCAGCATGTCTGTGTCCATCTCAAGAACCTCTGAGGCTTGACAAATCAAAACCTGTCAATATTTCTCTCCTTTGAGCCCAAACTGTGATAAGGCAAGTCCAAAGACATTTCCTATTATAGTTTTCCTGAAAACTTATCTTTTTACACAGTACATGAACACAGTCATCAGGATCTTCTCTTAAGTGAACACAACCATCATGTAAAAATTCTTTCCACTGCTTTCAAGACTGTATCTGTAGTGTTTCAAAGTGTCTAAGATAGAGCTGTTGTTTCCAGAGATTGGCACAAAACTGCTCCAAAAAGGGCAGCCCTGTCCTCTGTCTCTGCTTTACTCCATCCTATTCCATTGGACTGGCCAACAAAGCTTCAACCCTCAGTCCTGTACAACCCTCATCATGCCAAGCCATTCCTTCTTATTGTTCTTCTCCCCGTTTTATTCAGATTTTACTTTCTGACTGTGTCTAATTTAAGGAGCAGTTTGGATTTCATGTAGTGGAAGAGTTTTGTTCCTCATTTTCTTAAGCTCCTAAAATTCATAATTTCCCATAGTCATTCCTCAAGTGATTGTTCTATTGCAATTTGTCACTAACAAAACTTGCAGAAGTGGAGCAAGAGAATTTAAGATTAGCTCAGTTTTCAAATTGGTTTGTTCATGAGAAGACTCCTTAAATTACTTAATCTTCAAACTGTTAGTGATAAAACAAATGTGCTCTGATCTAATCTGCAACAAATCTTCCCCAAACTGTTACTCTGCCAACCAAGGAACATGATACCTTTAAAAATTTATAACAACTGCAGCTAATAAAACCAAGGTTTGGAACCACCTCAGTTTATCTTTTCTGGAACAATATGAAGATGTCAGAAAGCTCTTTGCCACATTCAGAAGAAAATTGCAGCAGCACAAGACTAGAGGATTTTCTTCTTGCTTATTCAGTACTACTCTAATACGTTGGAGATTCAGATTTTTCGAATGTTATTGTGATTCTAATTTACATACTGAGATGTACTCTCAGAAATATCCAGAAGAACTTCAGAGATAATACTGAAGGTCACAAACAATAATTTGAACTGAGTAGATGTCTTTGTACCAAGTTCCACTGCCTTCTAATAAAGCTCTTCTCACCATCTGTGCCACACGCAAATTGTGTGACTTCCCTTAGCTGGGAAAGTCAAGGACTGATGTACTTGTAAAAAAGCTTTGATTAACTCAGTGTTTATGATATCTTTGATGCATCTTTTTATGGCTGCCCCTATTCTACCTGTTAATAGCAAAATATTTTCTCTATTGATCCACAGAAGCTCTCATTGCCATACTATTGAGGGTCTGCATTTCATTTCTCCCATTTTGAAAACAAACCACTTCTTTTAACACAATTTCCTTTCTCTGTTAGTCAAGACCCCTCATTAAGTCCACATTGTGCTATTCTGCCAAGAAGTACAGCTCATTATCAGCTCACTATCTACACGTACACACGACAAATATTTTATGCATGCAAATGGACAAGCAGACTTGATTCTCTCTAAGTACTACCCCAATGGACTATGAGAGAGATACTGCAGAAATCCTTAGGTTTGAATCTTGTCTGCACTTTCCTCTAGAACCTGTCCCTTGACTAATTAAGTGATGGCCAGATCCATCTAAGAATTCTGAAGCTGAATATAAGTTATGCATTAGCTACTAATCCTTTGATTTGGTTCCCTGTTTAGAATTAGAGATCCATCCTGCAGCTCAAGAAACTCATAAATAAAGAAATCTATCAGGCTTTGCTGACACATTGAGTAAACACCTGCATCTGAAGTGTCGTGTTCCATCAGAAGGAAATAAAAGTAATTGGTAACCAATTTGTTTCTGCTCTCTTTCATCTGCTTGTTCTTATCTACAGACCTTTTCATAACTTCATTCCCTGACAGTCCCCTAAAACTGGATAAGAAATAAATAAAACATTTAAAAATAAGAGAGCAGGTAAGCTACTAAAGCACTGCTAGTTTCATATGATTCCCCAATGATTGTTCCTCAGTTTTACTGTAACTGTATTTAAGAATCCTTTATGTTAACCAAGAGACTGCTCTAAGTACTGCATTGGGCTGGATCTGACACCACAGCAGCAAAGGTAAACTAGGTGCAAGAAAATCTCATGAATAAGGAAGAGCTTAAACAAAAACCATAAATAAGTGAAATCCATCTCTGCTCCTTAAAGGGAAGCTAATAATTCTAAGAAACAGAATACAAAGAAAAACATTGGAACCAAACTTCATCCAGTAGGTAATAAATACAACAGACAGTGCTACAAAAGAATCCGGAACGGAGCTTTGCAGAGAGAAGAGCTGTTTTCTTATTTAGCAAGAAGTGCTACAAATTGCTTTAGGAGAATACAGACTATCCATCAGTCTTTTAAACTGTATTTTCAGGAGGCTTAAAGAGTGTAGAGAATCCTGGGCTGAATCCCCTCTGCAGTGCTACCCAAGTGCATGCGCAGGGATCCGGCTCAATGCTGAGCCTTGTGTCACTGCCAGAGCAATAATCTCCCCAGGACACTCACACAGTTATTACTGGCACTACTACATCAAAGTTTGACTTTACACAATCAGCTGGGGCTTAAAACATCTCAATGCCCCTAGTCTAAAACACCTCTTTTAGTTGAAAAGTCCTAAAAAACTCCACACTGTGTGCAATCTGCTAATTTGCAGTATTATATCAGGATATAACCTGCTGCCAACTACCATTTCCAAATGCCAACCTCCTGGCTACAGCAACACGGGCACAGAGGTGATGGTGGACATAGGCAGGGAAGGGGCAGCAATGTCCAGTCCAAAATTTCCCTTGGAGTTGAAGGTCCAGCACATGGCAACGCTGTAATGGTATTTCCTTCCCCCTCCTGTTGCCTCAGCAGTGCTCTCTGCCTGTGTGTGCAGAGAACATCCTTGGCCCCTGACTGGCACTTGCAAAACACAACACATAAGGCACAGAAGTGCTCCTAAAAGGCTTCTTTCAGAAATACAGGCACCTGACACATGAAAACTAAGTGTAAGCAAGCTGGGAGCTAATCAGGATTTAATGCATCTAAAATCCGTGAGATGGAAGCTGCTCAGTAAGGATTTTTACTACTGTATTTCCCAAAATTCTGATTAAATGTATAGTTTCACAGGGGATTCAGAATCATATCAGTGTTTTATAAAAAAATCTATTTGATGAATTTCTATTAATGGGGAAGAACAGCTGAATTAATTTGGAAGATAACCCTCCTTCACCTCCTTTGTTCTGTTCTCTGAAGAAAGGTTCAAATGTAAGGGCAATGAAATATTAAGATATCAATTGTATTTCCTATTATACCTCAGCCCAGAGCCCATTCTACTAAAAAAACCACATTGCTTTGAGAATTACCCAGTATAGACAGGAAAGCTTTCGCTCTGGCTGGTTCCTCTGTGCTCTCCCTCAGCTTTGCTTCACACAGGTACATCCCCACATCAGCAGACGTTGGGTTGGTGATAGTGAGTCGTCTGCCAAAACTGCTAATGCCACTGGTTATCTTTATTCCATTTCTCTTCCAGGTCACACTTAGTCTCTCAAGAGGTCTGCCAAGAAATACAAGAATAAAACATATATATTACAGAATAGTCTTCTCTGTGTGCACATATATAAAAACACACATACAGAATATAATATTACATATCATAAAATTTCTCCAAGTCTTCCTCTCTCCCCAATATTCCCTATTAAGAAGTATATGCATATATAACCTCTACACATCTAGACTACAGACTACTCAAGTGGTATTATGCAAGTACAGCTAATTGATACAGCAATAGAACTTAAGTGCTAATAATTTGATTTCTCTAAGCAAAAGGAGTAAATACTGCTATGGGAGTCAGCTGCATGGGAAGTGCTTTCATTATAACTCAATTACCAAAACAATATTAATCATATCAAGAACATCTCTGCCCTCAGAGGGGAAAGTGAATCAGTTGGTCTTATCATCCAAGGACTTTGACTGTTCACTTTCACTGAAATTCAAAGCTATCCGAGGCCAACTAGATGGAAACGTAGGAGGAATGCTGTGAATTCTATATTACAGTGCATTCTGAACAGTCGAGCAATAATCACTGTAAAATGAGAGATCCTGAAATAAATTACTTCACAGGAGATCCCCACTAATTTATTTACTAGGAAACATTGACTGTTCAACAATATCACCTTTCCTGTTGATAGAAAACACGGCCGAAATATTATTAACCCTTCCCATAATTTTTTTCCATAAGGTAATACCTGCTGATTGAACACAACTGGACTTCTTTTCCTTTCCGTGTAAGGAACAGGTGGGAAAGCACCCCTGGCCTGTGTGCTCATTTGGCCAGGAAAATCAATATGTTTAATTCAGTAATGTTGGACAAACAAGATTATTCATACGGTTGCTTTGAAGAGCAACCTCTAAATCTCTGCTGCAATCTCTAAATTGATAAAAAAAATGAAAATCATGTCCTACATCCTCAGGAAAGGACATGCAACACAATGAGTTCCTGGTAACCCGTGGCTGGATTAGCATACCTGGCATTGGCCACACACTCCAGGGTGGCCTCGCTGCTCCCGGCCACCACACTGGTGTTGTGCGGGCGCACGACGACCGCGGCGGCCGCGGGGGCAGATGGGTCTGCGGCACCTGCACGGGCAGAGACACACCTTGTGAGGACAGTGAGGACTGGCACGTTCCAGGCATCATCAAGTGACACTGCTGCAAATTTTCCTCGTCACCCTCCCCACGGATGGTAATCCCCTCGTTAATGAGGATCTCCAGCATGGCCATTTCCAACAGTGTTCATGACACTGGACAAGCACACTGTTCCATACACCCACTCTGGAATCACTCCAAACACAAAACTCCCAAGAAATACTCCCAGATGGAGCACAGGGGCCATTCTCAAAGAGAGAGCAAATAAATTCAGCATCCTAAAGGTTTTCTATTGTTGAGCATTTTTATTTTTATCAAACACTTGCTGACTTATATTTTTAAGACCTTTTCATGTTTTGTTTAATCTTACCCCTTCCATACCATTTCAAAAGGCTCTGCCAATACTCATGTTAGTTCTTTAAAAAGATTTTACACACTGGGGAACAAATATAAAATTAACAAAGCAGCATATCACAGCAACTTCAATCCCTTTTTCTTATCAGGAAAGTAAATAACCCAAATCTGTTACTCTTTTGTGAGGCTTCATACTGTAAATAATTTAGCTTATGCAACAGTCAGCAGACACTTAAAAAATGGTAAAAAGGAGCTTGTAAATTTTCTCTGTATACATTTAGTAAGTGAATTAAAATACCCATGTATTCATAGGTACTTTGCTTCAAGCAACTCATTTGGGAAAGAAAAATTAGCCATTTTTTAGCTTGAATAACAGAGTAATAGAATTTTCTAAAGATACAGAAACCAATAAGCAAATTACAGGGGAAAGCAATAAAAATAAAACTAAACTGATGGAAAAGCAAGCCAGTTCATCAAAGGTTTTCTGCAAACGAGGCTAGTCTGTGCCCATTAAGCAGAATAGGAGACTGGGAAATGCAAGGTTTGAACCCTGATGTCCAAGATAATTCCCTGAAGAACAGCAAATGGACAGAAGATTCCTTGATCATACCCAGTATGCCAAAAGCCATTTGACACTGGATTTCACTTGCTGGATAGACAAAGATTTTGGCAATGGGGCTTTGCAAGTTCACAAGGTTAGCAGATTTGTGAGTTACTGAATGCCCAATATTTTACCTTTTCTATTTTTCTAACTGACAGCAGATAGTGTAGTACAGGAGATGAGAATGTATAGCATAATTTAAAAATTTTAGGAATACCACCCACACTTCTGAATAAATTCAAGCATCCAAGAATAGTACTCAAGGAAGTGTAAGCACGTATTTATTTCTTCCCATAAATATGCTCTGTCGACCTGACACAGCATCTATATGCAACTCACATGGGATCTCAAAAAACAAGCTGTTAGTAGATTTTTTTAGATCAACATCCCTGGAAATATGAATCTATCAGGTAGCAAATCTATTTTCTAAGACTTCCATGGTGGTCTTATAGGTTATCAAGGCAGTCATTTTCCAGATAGTAATTGAAGAAAAAAAAAAAAAAGAAAAAAAAAGAGAAAATAAGCATCAATCAGATAGATCAGTAGCTTATTCCTGATGAGAAGAAATAACCTCAGCACCACTTTTCACCACTACTTCTGCCCAAGATGAAGGTTTACAACAGCAAATGTTAAAAGATCAACACACAAGTTGCTAATTTGGCAGTAATAATTTCTTATCTCCATCTGGAAAAGAGGAAAACCACTTGTTTGGCTTATCAGCTCCCCAGAAGAATGGCTCAGCCCCACTAGAAGCAGCAGAAGAGGACAAGCCAGTTTTGCTGTAACCTTCAGGAGTCACCACACACAAGAGGCTCTGTGTGCAGTCAGCAGATAAGCAGGGAAATAAACGTCTATGTTCCTCCCTCTGGAACCAGGAAAATGTGGTTTTTTGGCTTTTTTTTTTAATTTCTTGGACTTTCTTACTAAGAGCAACATGAATCTAAGTGAAGTATGTGTTTATTTACAATTTGCACCACTCCTGAAACAAATCTGTTAGAAGCTGCTGCTACAGATTGTGAGTGAACTAACACTGATGTGACACAGAGGACTCACAGACATGGTCAGAACTTGGATTCCCAGGAATATACCTACAAAGGTCAGCTGGAGATGTATCAAGCACATACAGAATTCAAAGTATTATCTAACCAGGATCTAGACAGTATGCAAATTCCTCGTTCATATCCTAGAGAGTGTAAATTTCCCCTTGCAGCACTAGGAAACCCCTTGTCATAATTCACTCTGGCCCCAATCCTGCCAAATCCAACTCAACAGGGACATTCCCAGGGCTCCTTTTGCAGGGGACAGTTTGGAGCTTTGTCTTGTGGCTAACTGAAATATCTAAGGAGGAGCTTAGTTTTATCTGAGAGCAAAGATCTCAATAGGGCTGTAACATGGGATCTGTGTGTCTGTCCCAGCCTTTCAGAACTCCATCCTTTTGTAAGAAATCCAGAGGTTGGAGTGTCAGAGCAGCCAGGATCCTGAGATAAGGAGGAACACTGGGGCTTTGTTTCCATGATGTGACGCAGCAGATCAGCCTTTCATCAGGCTGGGAAGGTAGAGAGCTATTGCAACAATCAGATAACAAACAACTACCCAGACTTTCCAAGTTTCTCATCCTACCTGTCAATATAGCCACTCCATCCTTCTCCTACCTCCTAATGCACTACAAAGATATGATTTTACTTGACTGATGCTACACTAAAATCCAATGCAGAATGTCACTGTTAGTAAACAAACATTTTCTTTGAAAATCCTTTGTCAAAAACAATTGATTTTTTTTATCCTTTTCACTGTTCCTTTTTTACTCATCAGACTTTTTGTTGTCCCCATTTTCTAGGTCTCTGCTGCTTTTCATCACCTCTTCCTTCTCCTCCTCTCCCTCAAGCAGCTTCTCTGCACTCATCACTGCCCATTTACCCCATGGTTATAGATGTTTCACACTATTTCAAACCTCCTCAATTTCCAATGTATCTTTTAATTTAATGATTGAACTTCAGCTTCTCTGAAGAAAGTATTTATTGAAGACACTGAAATGAGGGAGCAATACAAATGCACACAGGAATAGTTACAATGAGATGAATTTGCTAATAGGGAACCACCATTCCAAGCCATACTCTATCTTTCTGGAGAGAAAAGCTCTTTTTAACTTTCTGTCTGCTTTCTGAACCTCTCCTCTTTCCTAAGAAAGCAGAATGACATTAGGGAGAAATCATTGACCCCAGAACTGTAGCGAGGGGATGCCTTGCTATTAGATACATCTATTCAGTTTGGGGGGAACTGGGAGGAAGGTGCAGAGACAAGGCTGAGTGGCACTGAAGAACACTTAAGGGATTTGCTCTTAATCTGATTCTAGTCCTTAATAGATGACTGGACAGAAGTACAGCCACAGGCAAAAGTCCTAATCCAACAGGACTACACTCAAAAAAAAAAAAAAAAAAAAAAAAGCTCACACTGCTTTCTTTTACATTTGATTTTAGCCACAGAACTCTCATTGCTTCTAAACTTTCTCATTACTCAATGACTTAACTATGACCAGGATCTACAAGGGCTCAGTACCTGCAGTGCCTTCAGAACCAACCCCAACCTGTCCTGGAGAAATGATTATGGTAACACCAACTCTTGGACTTGGGAGCAGAGCGAGTTTGTCCTCCAGTTCTTCAGTGGATCCCATCCCCAGCTGCTCATGAAGCAGCTGCTGAACTGCTGCCATTTACAGACCAAAATATTAAGGTAAATCAGCATTAGTATTATGTTTTCCATATTAGACTTTTTTTTTTTTTTTAAAGCCAAAAATAGAGAAAAACTAAGAGAAAATGTAGAAGAGAAGATCTAGGGCTTTTGTCTCTCCAAACCAACACTCCTCTCCAGACTGTGGAATTCATGAATCTTGCAATTCCACACAAAGCAGAGATAAACTGAGGGAAGAGAGAAAAAGAAAGTGTGAACACCTCTTGCATGGTCTGTTTGTTTTCATCACCTGTGGCTATGTATGGCTGCACATCGCTGAGCCTGGAGCACACTGAACTTCCCCCTTCCCTCCCCCTGTCTGACCAAGAATGAAACCCATCCAAGTGCTCTAGAACATTGATTTTCAATACTGATGAGCTGTAGCATTTTAATCTGTTATTTAAATACAGTAATTATGTACATTGCCCTATCATCTCTAGAAAGACAGGGTTTTTATCTCTGTACATATATTGCTATGTAAGGTACAGGGAATTTTAAATATTGCCATTTAGAGTTTGTAAAGATGACAGACTTTATCAAAACCACTTAGGTGTTTATATTTCCCAACAGAACTGAAATCTCACTCAGACCATATGACTGAAGATACAATAGGGTTTTTTCTCCCTTCAGAAATGTATAAACATTAGGTTCTTTCCCAGATTTTACATTATGGCATTCAAAGTTTATCTCTATCTGTATTTGCAGTGCAGAATATTAAGTGTATTCCTTCTGTGGATGCTCAAATTCATCTGAGAGAGCTATGAGGTAAACCAGCCTTAATAGAAAGCGAGAGAAAGTGTTTATCACTTGAAAAGAAGTCATAGTTTGAGTTCAGGCTTGAGAAAAGAGGTAAGTTTTACTTTTGAGGCTGATAGGTCCCAACCCTCTGAAGTTGCGTAATCCAACCAAAGTGAGCAGGAGCAGGAGGAGGGAGGATTGGCCAAATAATCATCCAGACCACCCTTGTTTACCTGGTGTGGGGTAGAGCCTGGAATGGGAGGTTGAATGCTCATCATCCCTACCCATAGTGCAAGTTACTACTGCAATTATCCCCAAATTAATTTACTCCTTCATCTTATGAAGTTTGTCTATGGGAGAAAAACACTTCACAGAAGAGATCACTACCCTCAAGCTAATGGAGAAATGGAATGCTTAAACAGAACTTTGAGATCATTTATGTTATCCTGGGAGAAAAAGATTAGAAAACCTTCACAATAAACTTCCTACAGACTTTCAGGCTCACATAGTATGCAGAAATGCCTCTGCAATTACTATGCAGGATACATGAAAAGCTTCATGTTACCAAATT